CCCACACAAAGCAGTGGTCCTCAAATTTGTCCTCCGGACCCTGAGAAAGACCAGGTTTCTGGGAATCTTGAAAAACATTCTTCTGATTTATAAGTTAGTAACATTCACCTCAAAGCACAAAATATGCTTGGTTCTAGAAAAATAAAACTTAAGAACCACTTCCAAGCTTAGATTATTTTCTCCCCCATTTTCTAGCAATAAATACATAGAGAAGAGTAGTAGCTGTGTTAACATGACATTTGGAAATGATGCACAATGAAACATGCTTGTCTTGTTTTCACAAAATGATTACACAAAATGACAAAATCAATATTGCGAAGAACACCACACACATACACAACACACACATACTATTTTCATGTTGTGGAATCACCTCCAAAGTAGCCATCTATAGCCTGTGTAAGTATTATTCAGATTAGATCAGTTTGGTTTCTTTTTTTTCCCCACTTATAAAAATGTAAACAGTAATGATGTGCAGTGTTCCACAGCAACCAATTGGGAATCGGCATTTAGTGTGCTCAAATAGACTGATGTTTAGAACCTGTCTGATGGCCTGTCTGCTGAAACAGAGCCTGGAGCAAGGAGGGAGCGTTCTATGAAGGTGCATCGTAAGGTTGACTGGACCCTATAGGGCAGCAGAATCGCCATGTACACAAGTACTTGATATCTTATGCAGCACTCGGACACAGGTGGGTAGCAGAGAGCAGAGCTGCCAGAGCATGGTAACCAGAAAAGACAGCATAGTGAGCAGAGGAATGAGCTCAGTCTGCTGTGGCTCCTTCACTATCAATCACAGGCTTGGCATGGGAGATGACAAGGCGGTATTGCTTAACTGCAGTAAGAAAAAATTCAGATTACCCACCTGGCACTGCTTTCTGGCAGGGCTGTGTAAACCCCAGGACTGGAAACGCAAGTCCTTGTGCAAGTAAAACACTCAAATGCATGTGTATTTCAACTGTGTATTTTGTAATTTGCCAAGCATTCAGCTTGAAAGGATCCTTTAGATACATAAGCTCATGGAGCTCAGACAGGCTGTCAGACGGTCAATAAATGACCCTCTACATAAGCCCTAATGAGAGCTAATTTAATTGGCCTGTATAAATTATAGCACACCACTGCGCCTAATGTCGGTCTACTGCAAAAGCAATAATGTGCACTTACTTACAATTACCAAACTGCAGTTTATTGTAGGCAGACCCCTGGAAAAACAAAAAGTGATTATGGCTAGAGGTTGCTGCACTCTCATTAAACAAAGGCCTTGGAGAAGCTGAAGTCTTGATTTCCAAGTTCAGAAAACCAACTTTTCTTTTATTACCAGTCCTGTTTTAATGCATGCATTTTATTAAACTACAAAATAAGTAATTAATGGCAGTAAATAATCTATAGAGGGTTTAGGGCATTCATTTTCAGCCTCTCTACAAAATGTTTCCTGGTTTGTCATCCAAACTACTACATTCAAATTACTCTAGTGTACCTGCAAAAGAAAAAAAAAAATCTGAGCTGCTAGATTACATAACAAAACCCAATCTAATTAAGATTTTTTTTTCATCATCACTCAGCTTCTGTGTTACTGGGACTTCACAGCTTTTTAATAAAAAATAACTGATCACAGAGCAGGACCTAACTGGAAACGCTAGCACAAAAACATTTAGCACTACTTGCTAAATGATTAACTGGGCTCAAGAGAATAGATTTTTTGACTAAATGAATTAAATCATACTAGCACAATAAAAGCAGCCATTTCATAAACTGTACTAGAGAATGAAACCCCTTAATTTAAGACTAGTATCAAGATTGTAATATATTGGCTTACCCCAACAATTGCTTATGTCATCAGGCCTAATCTGAAGCGCTTAAAGAAAAAAATTCCTGTTAATATGACAATTTATTACTGAACTAAAACATTTTAACTTTCATGGATTTTAATATGCTTACCAAGGGTTCCTGCACCCCTTGGGGACTTCTAGGAAAAAGTTATCTTCTCTCAAATGCCTACCTCTGACAACCACTGTAGATGCTACTTGGATGTCACTTCCCCACCAATTAAATTTCTAGTATATATTTTACAGAGAATGCAGGAGGAAGGGCCAGACCATTTGGCTTTGCAAATGCATCAGTGAAAAAAAACTTGGTTATCTGTAGAGATCAAGCTGCTGCCCCCCAATGAGATGTTCGAAACCTGGAGATGATTAAGCCCACCAGAATTCACCCATAATTCAACTGTGGATGGCCTTAGCCCTCAACTACAGCACTGAAGTGAGATTCCCAATAGTGGTCCTTTCTGCGTGACAACTGAAGCGTGTGTATGGATTTAAGAGTGATCGCTTTCTGTTACCAACTTAGGTTGATGGGCAGTTTTGATCATTGTTAGAGTCCTTCAAAACAGGGAAGCTCAAACAGGATAGAGAAGGTTGATATAAAAACAGTAAACACAGACCTCCTGAGGTTCCTACAACATAAAAATATTCAAGTAGAGAATCTACATCACATAGCAGCGGCTATTTCTGTAGTATAGCACTCTAACAGCACTTTTATTCAGTGTGAAAGACAAGACAGTTGTAAGCCGTGCTTTTAGCATGCCAAGAGGCAGAAAACACTGGAATGTAACAAGACAAAGACCAACAATTCTATAAACATTCCACTGACATTCAAAAACTGTCAAGACGAGACCACAATAGTAAGATGCTTTTAAATATCCCATGATGCAAGAATCAAAGAACTATTTAGTTAAAAAAACAAAACCTAAAAGGCAACCCTGTCTCCTGTGACCATCAAGACGGATAGACTGGTATTACAGTGTTAAACATGGCTTTTGCGTGAAAGGTTCAAACATGTTAAAAAGTAAGGAAAAAAAACCTCGTTTTGATTACAATTTGTATCAATTTTGCATTTGAATGGTTTTATTATAACGCTCTATGTTGTCAAAGTTCTTAGGACAAATCAACTGAAATCACATTGGATGTCTATAAATACATTACAAATTAGAACTATGATGCATTTGCCTTGTCACAACTGAAGATTTACACTGATTACAGTATCTCTAGCAATTAAGTAGAGGTAGGCTTGTACAATAGTAAATGGTTAATGCTAACCTGTACATAAAAAAAAAAAAAAAAACCAAAAACTACTACTTCGTAATGTGAGTGCTGCCCTTTAAAGACAACATGAGATCACCCAAGCAACATTTGATGAACAAACAAGAGTTGGAGAGCAAACTTTTACATTTTATCAGAACCTAGCAGCATTATTAATACAAGTAAGGTATAAATAACCTTAACTCAAATTGCCGGCAATTACCATTCTTAACACAACTGACTTTAATTTGCTTATCATGAACTAGAAATGTAATTAAAAGAGAAAACCTTTGCTTTTGTTTTCTTCAATCCTCTTCCCAGAAGCCTTTTGGTTACTTTGCTTTTTTTCTTGCTTTTTAAAGCTAAACATTTACAGTTTTTGTTAGCAGAGCTTAGTAAGCGTGCTGTGAACTTTCACTTGCCATTGATTTGCAACAGCAAGGATATACAGTTGCTGTGAACATCTTAAACCCTTTTGTAAGGTAACTTTAATCTGAGTTTACCTGTCCTCCATTTAAGGCTAAAAGTAAGAGATCTTAATAAAACCATGCAAATGAAATAATATTTCTTCTTAAAAAATAGAACGCAATTGTTCAATTGCAAAACGAGTTCAGGGCAAAGAAAATATTTGATTAAAAAATGGTTATGGCTTAACTTTGCAAGTTTTTAGAATCTGCTCTAAGAAAGTGGAAAAGTGTCTGTTACGGCTCTGACCTGCAGAGTTTAAGTCGGTTACTTTTCTCTCTCATCATGGGATACCTTTGAGGCGACTTGAATTATTATTAAAGACTTGCACTTTTACATCAACACTTCTGTTAAAGAGTGCCAGTTAAAGTTTTCACATTCACAGTACATAAGAAAATACACATGGAAAGAAAAATAAAAGGTTAACTTAATAAGGGTTTATTCACAGGAATACAAGTGAAGAAAAAAAAAAAGCAACATAAGAGCTGAACAAATTAATTAGGGGATATAAAGGGGAACCACAACCCAACATTCATTCTGTAGCTATTTAACTTGCACCCCAAATGTTTCTGCTCAGGGTACATAGGGCCACCAACATGCGCCATCGATACAGTGCAGATAACCTGCATCACATCTACAAAATCAATGTTTTATGATCATGCTTTGACAAAGAACATAAGAAAAAGAATTTATGATGGGTAATATGTTGTGAAGTGTCAATGTATACTAAATTATATCAAATAACTTGTCTAAAGTTTTCTGTATGCGCCATCTAAATTGATCTTACTCCGGGTAACTTTTAGTAATCACTAGTACTTAATCATGCAGAAAGCACATTACACTGATAGCACAATGGCAAACAGGTTTTTGCACAAGTCAACCAAGCTTTCCACATTGTGATGCTATACAAGTTTTTTCCCCTAACAGATGCTGGAGATTTTATCATTTAACCCTACCATCCCCATCAATGAGATTTGCAGGCTAGTGAGGTAGACCCTGCAGACAGAAAAAAGGGCTAAGGTTTAACCGTACTCTGTAGCACTTAAAACAATCATCTATGATGCCTAAAAACAGAAACTATGGATGCAGGGTGAATCATAATGGATAAACCGTAAAGAAAAGGGAAAAAAAAAAAAAAGAAAGGCGCATACGGGTAATGTTGGCCTATCTTACTATGCGATACAAACTTAACCCCGCTAAATTTATTAATTCTTAACCACTACAAGAATCCTGGACTGCATGCCTTGGGAGAATGAAAACCCTCACGGCACTGGTGCAAAGCACTTCATATTCTCCTCCAAACTGGAACAATATGCCTTGGTCTATTGTTTTACTTTTGCTGCCAAAAATTTTTGCAAATCGTTTAGCAAAGGAGTGATTCTTAAAAAAATATATACTTATATTAAAGGTTCTTCGTAAACTAAAATAAGGAGTTTTTTTTAAACTTGTTCCTTCCCCTCCTGAAGAGAAAAAAAAAAATAAATAATATAAAAAAAAATACTAAATTTGGCATTTTGGTGGACATCAATTTATGCAGTAGATCTTAACTTATTTCACAGGCATTTGAAGTGTAGACTGCAATTATCTGCTCTTAATACGCGCAGCAAGGTGTGTTTAACTTTGCCAACTTCATCTATTTATGTCTTCATTAACATGCAAACACAGAAAATTCCCAATTAGTGGGATAGTTAGGCAACCCTTTTGCTTTAAAATAAATGCCATTTACTGCTATAATCCCCCATTCTTAAGATTTCCTCTGAAGTGTGCAAAAATTTGTTTCTTCTTACTTAACCCTCTAGAGTTCAATTATAAAGGTACTCTTTAAGTACAATTCCCAATATACCAGAATGTGCTGTTTGGCGATGAGAATTTGCTTCTTCACATCCAGTGCAGAATTGTAAAGGAGACATATTTCCACCCACAAAGGCTCCAGACGGTTTAAACGTTTCCCAACATCGACTTAATACAGTGACGGCAACACCTCCCTCCCGCCCCTCCCAGTAGGCTTTGGGATTGTACTGTGTTCCCTACTGGTTTGCCCTTCCCCCCTGTTAAAGGGTAGCTTTTTCCCTGGGTGCAGAGGCTCCCCCGCTGTCTCCCAGACTGAAGGACCTATGGGGGGAAAAAAAAAAACATAGGTTAGCCATCAATGTGCAGACATCTTGGGGTTTATGTAATACTATTTACTAGTAAAGATGCAAGCTTTTGAAATTTAGAATTCTTCCGGCATTATGCAAAATGACGACATGTTTTAGAGAAGTATAACAGGACCTTAAAATAGATTCCTGTAGGGAGTCACACTCCCACCTGTTAGAGCAACTTTTTATCTGCAACACTGTAAAAAGTAAAACCTGGAACTCTTTTCCCTGAATTAGTCTACAACCCAAATGTGCGGAGACCCACCATATGTCAAAGCAAATGTCAGAAAAAAAAGAAGATGCATCTAATGAAAAACATTCATTTATGGTAAAAAAAAAAAAAAGTCTGTAAAAGGCTCTCATTTATCCAGCTCATGGTATACAAATAGCTAGAAGTAGTCACATTCAACTAGACTTGTTCTGTTATTTTGAAGACAATTTGCTGCTTAAAGGTGAACTATGAGATGAGTGATTGTGAGACTGTCACAGGTCGGCTCAGTAGATCGGGAGGGTGAGCGAACACATACCGGGTTCGCTCACCTCTCGATCCTGTCACGGCTCTCTGCCGTGACAGGGGGAGGGGCCGGATTCCCCTCTCCCCGCTCCGATCTGCCAGCGCTGACTGGCAGAATGGACGGGGGAGGGCGGGTACAGCTGGCTCTGCCTCTAGATAGGCAGAGCCAGCTGTCACCCGTCCAGGTCGGGATCTGCTCCGGCGTCTCAGTATACTGCGAGCTGTAGCTCGCGGTATACTGAGCTTAGAGTAACGGGAGGATGCTAGTTTGTGTCCTCCCGTTACCCTAAGGAGAACTATGGGGAAAAACACTGACCCCATAGTTCTCCTTTAACACCTTTGTTAAGCTGTACTATGCATTAAAAAAAGAAATGCTTATTCTATATTTTTTGCCATCAGACCCGCATTCTCTGCACCCACTTATCACATACTGGGGACTGGCCTTGGCAATAAGCTTTAACATCACAATGGATGTACAATTTTTTGCATGGTTTCTGAAAGATTTCAGGAGGCATAGTAGCAGGTACATGAATAAGAAGACAGAGGGATGCTGAAGAGGTCATCTACCCAAACCTGCTCAGAAAAGGACAAATAGAAGGCATAATGACATTAAGCATCCAACCCTCATTTTGTAACCAATTATATAAGAATTTATAAAGCATTTATGACAACTAAAACAGAATTGTACAACCTTAAAGTGAAGCTTTTCTCAGAGAAATATGGTGGCTGCCATTGTGGATCCCCTTCTAGAAATGCTAATTACCTGGCTAGTATACTGACCCACTGGCTTCACTCTGAATCTCTGAACTAGAACAAAATTCAATGCCTGCATTAATGTTTCGGCTCAGTGGCTTAAAATTACTGAGGTCAGCCAAGCACCCATAACTTTCAGAGGGGTAGGCCAGAAATAATCTTTTTTTTAATCATGTTTTCTCTCAGGAGTAGATTTTAGGTCTTTAAAAAATTCAACCAAATAAATATTAGATTCAGAATAATTTAACAAAAGAGCCTGCAGTAGTAGAGGGAGGAGATGCCAAAATATTAAATACAGCTCTTATTGCAATGCTACTTACCCCTAACGGTGAGACTGCAGCTAGAGCACATCTAGGTTAAACTCCATAGTATGCTGCAAGACGTTCTTTAAGGGGAAGTGGAAACTGGTCTGAGAAGCGTCTCCAATTTTCATCCCCTACTTGGTTTTTAAATCCGTGAAGAATCTACAAAGAAATGGGAAAACATCAGGCTGCAGAAATAAATGAAACCGCTGAATTTAACACTGACAGATGTGATCTATTTGTTAAGTGATTAATGCATGCCTTGTACTGCAGGCTAACTAGGATAACCTCTATTTCATATTTGTTACATGGCCTCATTCACATAACTTAATTATTTTAAAATTGCTGTTTGCACAATACTTTCTCTATTCTGAAAGAAAAGTTGTTTTCCGTACTGAGTTTTGCTTTAGAATGCAAGGAGCTGGGCAGGTTAATGTTACCATAATGAACCCTGTCTGAACTGTGCGGGCAGATCTCATCAGTTGTAAACTAGATTTGAACATGGTCTGTCCTAAGACTTAAAGATCTAAAAAGCATTGCTCGGTCTGTTCCTAATCTTTCTATACTGTTACTTGGAAATTGAGATTGCAACGGCCTCCTACACAGACACATAAAAGGTAAGCCATATTCTAAAAAGGCACGGAAACTTAACTGGTAGTGAGGAGAAACCTAAAAGAAGATAACACTTCTTTCTAGGACATCTGAAGCCACTCAAACAAAGCAGCTTCCGAGCACACTTCTACTTAGTGGCAATCTCTGGACCACATGTGGTCAGTATTTTCCAAGAACTCTGATATTAAATTGCATTATACGCAAATAGATTTAGGGCCCAATCACACCATGTGCGGACCAGAGCCAGACCAGAAAATGTTCTGTCTGGTCCAAAAATCGCATCCCCAGTCGTGGTAAAAAGTGAGGCCAATTTACAACACTACGTTCAGTTTCAGAACATTAAAAAATTACTGCATGTACTATATTCTCGTCTGGAACGCAGCAAAACACATGTAAACACCAAAGAAAAACTGCACATGACCACATTTGCAGAAATGCATCCAGATCTGGTCTGGCGATGGTGTGAACAAGCCCTTACTGGCTTTTCTGACAGAATGCAAAGTCCTATATGCAGTTAAAAAAAAAAGCCAGTTTTCCTAATAGAAAGGTTAGTCAAAAAGAATATAGCTTGTGTAAATATCCCATTACAATTCTCACTGTTTTGGAATGAAGCTAGGACATTACTAGTCTAGAAAAGTCTTAGCAACAGTTTAAAGAAAAGTGAAGTGTGTACTATACCTTACAGAACATGTCTCGAAGATCTTCCTTTGGATTAATCCATGATGCAACAGCATCACAGAAAAATATAAAATCCTGAAAGCAACAAACATGAGATCAATATCCACTAGCCAATAAAGTGTTCTTTTTACAAACATTTATGTTAAATGACACCCACCCAATGCCATATTAGGTGAAGCCAGCCTTTTATGAAGCGCCATTGAAACACATTCCTAATAAAGCTGTAAACAAAAAGTAAAAGACTGGATAATAATCTTACCTGCACTACACCTCCAGGATTAACACTGATCATAGTACAAATTCCACGAAAAGCAGAATCTTTCTCCTCATTGTCCCGGATGTTCCGTAATGAAGTACACCTAGAGAAATCCCAGACAAGTTACACTACCCTCAGCTTTACCAGAACACAAATAGAAATAAATGTATAGAAGGTGTTGAAACCCTAATACAAAGTTGTTGTATTACTTTACTGCCAAGTGTTGAATTTGCTGCCAAAATACATTTAACAGGCTAAAGAAAGAAAAAAAGAAAAAGAAAATGGTATAGCAAATCTCTCAGGCCTGAAACACTATTAAAATGTTCATACACATACAAATAATCTGCAGAGTAGGCTAGTTTTACACCCTTCTGCCAACTGGCAAGTACTTCAGCTGCCACTGATCTTTACCTGTTGGATAACACCTAGATATAATGAGATGTTTTGGCATCTGTGGCCTTTAAAATAATTTTCTTTGGCTCTATATACAATATGGGTGCTCAACTCCTCGCCACATATGTAATAACATTTGACCATCAGCATTGATGGTCAAATCTACTGTACGTAAGGGTGCCCAACAAAGTGGAAGAGGAATCTAAGGTGGCTCTATCTGCCTGTGTATGGCCACCTTTTGTTAAAGTGGAACTACAAACTCCTATTCCTTACAGCCAAGGAGGGTGCCATCTTCTATTTGGACTGCAGTTGCCATGGTTCTTCACATGTGGTCAGCTATGACACCAGCCATTTGGAGGCTTGAAAGTTCAGTTGAAAGCTGAAATAAGCACACTGGCAACCTTGACAATTGGCACGCCTTGAAATTAACGGGTTTGGGAGACCAATAAATTGGCTGGTCTATTTCTGCTTTAACAAATGTCCTCACAGTATGGACCATTGCCTTAACAGCTCTAACGTAGCAAAATAAAGATTTTAACACATGGGGCAATTTATCAAAACCGGAGCAAACAGAATCTGGAGTAGTTGTCCATGGCAACCTATTAGCTTCTCTCTGCAGATTGAACAGTTAAGACTTGAAAATGAAAAGGGAGAAGCTGATTGGCTGCCATGCAGGGCTGCTCCAGATTCTGTCTGATCCAGTTTTGATAAATTCCCCTGTGTATATTTAAAACTGCCATATACCACAAAAAATATTTTCAGGAAAGAGCCACCAATGTAACTTCGGTATTGTAAAGACATAATCCATTGGCGTGCAGAGTATATGCATGCATAATTTCTATCAATTCACAATTGATGCTGCTTTAAGTGTACCTGTAGTTTATGCATGGAAGAGGGCTCCATAATGTAATTTAAAAACTGCATCACCAGTTTCTAGCTCAGCAAAGTTCACACAATGGCTCCCTCCAATGTCTAGACAACAGGTATACTTCATATACAAACTCTAGACACAGCAAGCATGTGACAATCTTATCCCGTGCTCCCATGCATCATCAATTGGTTAGCCACAACAAAGAAATGGGTAACAGTTTACATGACAATGTTTAAAAGAAAAAAAGAAAATTTTTAAAAAAGTGACGAAACCTAGGACAAGATTAGTCACATGGCTGACAAATGACTTAGGATCATGTAACAACTGACGAAGAAAAAAAAAATTCCAAAGATGAACTATAAAAGAAAACATGAAGAGAAATGAATTAAAAAAAGATTGAAGAATACACACCAGGGTCTTATAAACTGCTGTAGCATGGGGGCCACCTCTTGAGGACAAACGTAACCAAGACGACCAATTGTTATTGCTAAGGCAACGCAATCACGGTTATACACCACCAAACGCCAACCAAGACATGAGCAAATGAGGGGGGGGGAGGAGAAAAAAATAAAGAAAAAAAAACAACAAATAACTCAGAAACAGAAAACAGAATCTGTGTATGATAATAAACATAAGATATCACTAGTGTAGTTTATGAGCACTGCCTTTGAAAAGGTAGTGACACATGGCAAAACCATCTGAAGGAGGTTGGAGGTTACAGGTTTGGAGGGGACGGTAAGGGGAGGAAATATGAGAGAACACCGAAAACACAGAGCCTACTTTGCTCTTTTGCCAGACAATGCAGAACTATGAAAATGTATTTTCAAGTTAAAGTTTTTGTTTTTACAGCCAAAACCATTACTTATAAATAGAAAGTCCTATATTGTCATTGACCTATCTGGTTTTCACCCCCCGTATAAGGAAATGTCACCGCCATTTACAACATATGCAACGTCTCTCTTTTGCTATTATTGAGAACGCAAATCAAAAACGGAGCCAATTAGGGCCCCGAACAGTCACTATGAAGATTCAGTAGACTTTTAAAATCTTTTCAAGCCTGATGATCAGAGCTGGTTTTTGCAAGTGATGAGCTTAAAAAAAAGGACACAACCCTGAAGTACAAAGAAAGGAATTTAACAAAACTGGAGCAGGCACAATCTGGAGCAGCTGTGCATGGCAACCAATCAGCTTCTCTCATTTTCAAACCTTAACTGAACTAAAGAGAGAAGCCGATTGGTTACCATGGGCAACTACTTCAGATTTTGTGTGCTCCAATTTTGATAAATTCCCCCCAAAGAGTCTACTAGGATTCAAGAGCTTATCAGGTAAATCTAGGAGAAGACAGGCATCTTCGAGGAAGAAATAACAAAGAGCCTTGAGTCGACTGCTTTTTTAGGCTGTGCCTTTTATTGCATATTATCAAGTGCACTGAACAGTATATGCAACTTAGTTTCGGGCTACTGGTGCCCTTTCTCAAACTCATTTGAGTCCAAAAGCTCATGCATGCTTTGTTGTAAGCTGCAGTGCTAGGGCCTGCGTACAGGAGCTGTACACCAAAACCTCTCTACATGGGTCAATGGGCTTCCAAACGCAGCTCAGAAAGAGGTCTCAAACACAAGCTGAATGTATCTGAAATCATGCTGCATTTGCCTTCTTAAGCAAACCCTTATGCTGTTTAATGGACATGTTATTTGCAATAAAAGGGGTACAGCCAAAAATCAGTTGTGACCCTGAATTGTTTTAGTTTCCAGATGGACTGACACCAGCGGATGAATCATGTTGAGCTAGGAGGAATCCTGCATGTAGCATTAACTAACGGCATCTAGCTATCTGCAGGATGACCACTAGTTATATTGAATGAATAGGACTCCAACACTGGTTGGGAAACATGCCAGTGTCATTTTTAAAGCATTCTCAAAGAGTTTTGTTAAAAAGGCATTTCATTTTATTGTGCCAGAATTAAACACACCTCAGAGTGACGTGTTAAAGTGTATCTATACCCAAGGACAAAAATTTAAATATAGCGGCTCACTCATCCTTAGATTTGGCAGCTGAATTAGTTATATTGTTTAGGCTTTTTCCCTTTATTTTCACCTGGTAAGCCTGATAGTAACATAGTTCTTCTCCTAAAGTGCCAGCACTAGCCTATTAATCTGTGATGGACTAGCTTTACCCTAGGCCACTTTTCTAGTTTGGACTACAACCACCATCACTCTCAAGCTCCATAAAACAAGGAAGTTTTCTGTAGTTTACAGAATAGGACCGGTGAGAGCAGATAACACTGCTGGAGATTTCACAGTTCAGAGCACAGGCAATTACAAGGACATGGTACTTAAAAGAAAACAAATGCAGTCACCTCATCTAAGGACTGACAAACCTGCAATATATGAAATTGTTGATCTTGGGCTTAGATATAATTGGTCAGGTAAAAAGATACTGATAGGATTAGGTCGGGGTAGACAAATTAATATGGGATTCAGGAACCCGTCCGCCCAATCCAGGAGCCGACAGGATTTTTTTTTTTTTTTTAAGAGCTTCAGTGACAGCAACTAAAGATAACCTCAAAAGTTGGGCACCAGCTTTATTTTTAAAGTTTATTTCCCCTTTTCGCAGCCAAATTGGGATAACACCCATTTTATATTTGTTACATGTTCCCATTCACATAGCATAAGCTAAAAAATAAAAAAATGCTTCTTGACCTTTAAATTGCTTTTATTAGGGTTAGGGTTCTAGGTTATAAAATGTCTTCTTGTTTCTATTTCTTTGAAATGTTAGGAGGGGACGGGTGAACGGTCTCTTCCATTCAGAGGTGGCTTGTCCATTGAATGTGAATGAGGTTTATCAAATAAACAATGCCCAAATTTCAGTCCCAAGACTTCCCATTGGGACAGACCACTGTAAAAGGGCTATGAAAGACCTGGCTATCTTGCCTGATTTAACAAAACATCTAAAAATGTAAGACATTTATTTAAAAAGTTAGGTTTTCAGTATGCTAAGTGAATAGGAACACATAACGAACATACGGAGGGAGGGGTTTTCCTTAACTTGTCTGCATAAGAGCACTGGTTACCTGGTTCCCGGGATTTTTTCAGCTTTGTATAGGTAGATTTCTATTAAAAGAACAAAAGTGTGTAAGGCCAGTACACAGGCTTCTCAATGTGGACTCCACATATTTCAGAAATGGCATGCCTAAAATGTGGGTAGACTTCAGTGACTGGTTACATGTGCATTATGGCAAGTATACCCGTCCTCAAAATGGAGTTAAATGTGATCAGCGCACACATTATGGGGATCAGCAAAAGTTATGTCAAAGAGGCAAAAGACTAAGAAACCTAGTGAATAGATGGCCAAGATAATGTAAAAACAAGTAGTTAGGACCACAGTGCATTGTCACAGCCAAATCCAAGCACTAGAAGAATGGAGTGTTTTAATCAACATCAGATAGTCCTTTTGTTTCAGTCTGTGTGTTTTAGGTGTGCTCTCTCGTTAGGGATGATTTCATTGTCCAGACAAGAGAAATGAGAGGGGATGTTGGAAGTAATTTAAAAACTCTGTAAGCAAAGTAAACAAATACTAAAAACTCAGCAGATCTGTATAGAAGCAGCATAAAACAAAACCTATGTTCAGGTGACACAAACTATGCAACATTCCCATTAAACAGGCATTTGTGAACAGTCTGATGACAGCATGCAATTAAAAGCAGATGATGTACTTTCTGTTTAAAAGCTCAGCGTGGGACCATTACTTATACAAATACTATACGTCCTTGTGACCATTTTTTTCTGGGACAATGAGGAAAATTCTAAATTTTATGGTTGTCACACAAAGTTGTAGAGCAGGTATCTTCCAATGAGGACTACTTTGGGGATGTTTATACTCCCTTCCAGTTACATCTGTAGGATAGACCGGAAGGGAAAGTATTCACAATGGGGACACATAAGACAGGGATACAAACCCGACTGACTAAAGTTCGTCTGTAAATAAGCTTTAATATGACATGTAAAGAAGTGGTTTGGTTCAACCACTAGATCACAAACCAATTAACATGCATCACATCTACCAAAACTGTGGCAGTCATGTCAGCATCAACTTTTTACACTGCCCAGTAAACATCTGCAGAGTCTCTCTTCCCTGCCCCACTTAATGTCTGCTGAGGATTCCCACAACAGTTCTCTACCATATCCACCTAATGCGGAAGCTTGTCTCCCAAAAATGGCCGCCAATCGCAGGAGTCAACATACTCGGTCCACACTATCACCTTGTGCTAGTGCAGATGTTCCCAGGCTTTATGTGCAGCAAACCGTGTTGAACTACAGTAACTCTGGAAACAGATCACTGGCGAGGTACTACTGCCCCAACATATCCTCAAAAATATTCTCACTTGCCATGGTCAGAGCAGAAACATTTAAACTGAGGTAAAAGTACCATTTGATAAAATGGTAACATGTAAGGCACTGCCATTTAAACACCCAGATTGAACTTGTACCCTTCTCTGCTTTAGAGCCAATAAAATGGCATATGAAGGAAATTTATTTCTAGAAGTTAGCTGTAGTAAAACCACACGCATACATTTATAAATTTGAATATCATATCAAACACATATAAGAGATATAAGGCTGAAATAGGTAGGCAAGTACTCCAATATTCATCCAATAAGAAGTACTAGGGAGGGTTTCTGCATACTTTACAGAAAACATTTCCAAACAAAGAATTACAAAAGTAACAAATGCAACTTTGGCATACAAAAGTATTGATTTGTGTTGTGCCAGTCCTCCAGTACGAGAAACTGGCGAGGAAATGCAGAATCCTTTAATGGGAATTTTGACCAGGGAAAACAAAAAAAACAAAACGTTTTGCCTTAGTCTGGTAAACATGGAACATTGTCTTCTATCCAACTGGCGGATTAAGTATTTTCAAATGTAAAGTGTGTGAAGAAAGGGTGTCCAAGGGTTTAGAATACGTCTGCAACCGACTAATCACTAATAATAATCAATAGTTCTCTCCTCTGCCCAGCGGTGAGGAGAGCTCCCCCAGACCACCCCCTTCCCTGCCGCTCTGCTGCTCTCTACTCGCAGCTGGGAGCCCACTGCATGCTGCGGTTTGTGCCCCCACCAATCCTCACTGACAGGCTGGCTACTGCACCCACTGTAAATTCACACCGGCATTGGCTGACAGCCTGTCTCTCCACCCAACTGGGCACTGACTGCAGCGGTCTGTGTCCCCTCTTGACGTTTTTCAATTCAGTTTATTTTAAATTCATGACACTAGATTAAAATGTCTAATACATACAATTAAAAAAAGGTGGGGGAGGGGGAAGTCATTTTTTGTTTTGGCTGGACTAATTCTGCTGCGGGAGGTGCGTTGTGGTGCCATTCATTTCAATGGCACCCCAAACGCACCTCTCGCCCGCACTGGAATGCACAGTACTGCAATGCCATGCTTTCCAGTGCTTGCAATAGCAAAAAAAATTGTGCATGCAGTTTTATTCTGACGTAAACTTTGTTTGCAACACTATTTGTGTATTTTAAACAAAAGATGGTATTTAATAAATTGGCCAACTAATTGAATATGAAAATCCTTAGTTGCAGCCCTAGTTTAGAAAAGAAAAAAAAAAAGCAAAGAGCGCAAATTAACCCTGGTCCAACACATGCTCTTTAGCTAACAAATTCCTTTGGGCATTACAAGTTTATTAGTTAAAACAAAAGTTGTTATAAAAAAAAAAAAGGAAGGAGACATTAACCAAAACGTATTAACCACATGTATTGCAACCACAGCCCAGCCCGTAAAGAGGATATATACGCAGCTTTCTGGCGTTCCGCATTTTCAAACTGTCACTATAATTGTTCCTCGGCTTCTGCAGGTTTTCAACCCTGTAGTGAGATATGAGCCAACAGGAGGAACCGCACTGTGCAGTGGGAGAAGCAGATCTTAAAACAAACCAAGAAATGTTGAGTATCTACAGGGATGGAGTTTGAAAACAAAGGCCTCTGGAAAGGCAAGTATAGAGGTTGTTCTTTCCCAGGCTGAGCTGTGTCTGCAAATTACGAGGGTCAATATAAAATATTATTAATTGGGCCACATATTATAAATCTATACATTTTCTTTAGGTTCACGACTCAATCCATTTTTAAATCAGGTAAATGGGAAATACTGCATTTGTATATTTATTTTTTCCCAGACAGCAATGGGAGCTCCAGCCCATGTCTGCATGTTACCAGGATAATCTTAACTTCTTTGCTGAGAAAAAGGTCTGTTTACAGAGCTCAATAGTTTAAGCTCAAATAACTAAAGGAGTCAGAGAAGTCTAATACGAGTTGCGTTCTTGTTTTAAAGTCACATTAATCATCCCACATTGAACTTTTAGCCAAAAAGCACATCACATTCAACATTTATAAAAAGAAAATACAAAAAGTAACAAAAATACAACAGTATATGAGCCTTACAATGTTGTTGCAAGTATGGATATTGCCCCTAAAATGGCTTGGAGATTATAGTTCTGCTATACACCATCTCCCATCATCACACAAGATTAAACAACTCGCGGGCTAATTACCCGCCGTAACGGAAAACGTCAAGCTTCCGTATACAGGCATTCTCTACAAAACTTTAATGCACTGCAAAATACATCAGTTTGTAAATGTGGAAGTTTTCTGACCAGCATTTAAAACTTACCTTTGATATTATGCTAAAATGTACAAGTCCAGTTCGTTACAGCAGAGCTATACACATTAAACTGAAATACTATGTTTTACATTTTATTTTGGATAAAGAAATGAAGGGAAGCAAGAGGAAACCTCCCGAATGAGTACAAAAACCTGAAAATAAAAAAAACTTGACAGAGGTTTATTTCCCCAAAACTAAATATAAAACAAAAGTTTTTGTTGGAGTTGAGCATTAACCCTTTCGCTGCCACAAACCCAAGTACTACGTCCGTGGCAGCAGGGAGCTGTAATCACACTCCTGCGTGCTATATTAGTAGAGTATGTTTATATTCCCCCAGCTGACTGTCAGCTTTCCCGTAGAAGTTATTTGAGCAGCTGAAAAGCCACCCAATCACTGTTACACCCCCCGCATGTGCCACTACAAGAGGGTTTATAGCACATAAGGGGTATAAGCCCACTATGTGACAGCAATAAAAGTGAAAAAAAGTTGTTAAATAAAATTCTTAAAAAACCAACACACATATGAACAGAAAGACATACTTGAGGTGCATCTACATATGAAAACAAAGTTTGTACCATTGCTGAGCACGCCAAAGTGGGAGCATAAATTCTAGGAACATTATTCACAATTAACACTAAACTGATGACCTGTAGAGGCTCTTTAATTTGGACAATTTGGGGTTACAAAAGGGTTCAACTTCAATGGACCAATTTTGACATTTTGTACACCTCTTGTATTTGCAGATTGGCAGCATTTTTTATTTTTAAATTACATCAACAATTCAGATCTAACAATACATTATTCCTCCCACTCTGGCATGCATGAGGACACACAATATGTGTTACATAATTGTTTGCATAAGCACGTCCATCTTCAGTATGTGTATGTATAACAATAGGCCCATACCTGAAAAATGAAAATGGCTCTCGAGTTGATCTCTTGTGGGCCCAATACATACAAATTTAAAACTAAGTTTTAGCTACCTGGAAAAATAGAACACAGCAGCTGACTGGTTACTAAAAAGGAAATGAGATACACCATAGCTGTCCTGCTCCTAGACAATAATGGACGAGTCAACCCCCAATCATGGACAAGTCATTGCTAAATGTAGTGAACTGAAGTAAAAATCTGACTTGTAGACATTTTGGCATTTGAAGAAGTGTTCACGAGTACAGCAAGCAGAAAACTCCCACATCTTAAAGAAAACCAAGCGTTTTACTCCCTCTTCAAACAGCTGGCAAGTGGTACCTGTATTCTCTAAAAGAGTCTTTGGCGTGTTGGGTTTGTTAATGATTTCTACAAGCTGGTGCAACACCATTGGAACATAAGGCTGCATTTCAATTCCTACAAAACAAAAACAGGCTTCTTAGTTAACAGACCCTTGGTGTATTCACATCCACAATGGTAATTTTGGAGGACAAAAAAAAAAATTAGGATTTTGGTACTCACCATAAAATCCTTTTCTTGGGGGAGTTTATTGACAACAGGAAAGCTTAACATTTGGGTTATACTGCCGTCTATTGAAGGACTGGACACTAGCAAATCAAAAAAACTCTACATAAGCCCAGGATAACCCCTCCCACCTGTTGCAGCTCTGGGATTCCACCTCCTGCACCAAAGAGTCTAAGATAAAAGCTGTCAAAGTGTCTGCAAATGTTACCAAACGTCCACTCCCCCGCCCCCCTTGAATGCTGGGTCACACATTAATGAGGAAGGCTTCTCTGAGGATCTGGTAAACTGGGCTCCCAGTCCACCCGTGAGGTCTGGGGCTAAGCTTGGGGGGTCTCAACGTGGAGGGTGCCAGAGTTGAGAAATGAAATGCGTTTAACAGATAAAGATGGAGAAGACTTTGTGGTCTTTCTTAGGCTTCTTCCATTAAGATAGGTGGGTGGGCTTGTCACTAGTATAATCCTGGATAATCTGGTTTCAAGGATAGAACCAAAAGAGACATTGTCCTCTGCAGCTAACTTATCAGAAATAAATCTGGAAAGCCCCCTACATGGAACCCAGTGTCTGAAGGTCACTTCCAGGCTATCCCTGCAAGGTCCGGTCCAGCGGACTCTAGAAGCGGCACTCCAAAAGTCAGCATGAGGAAAGCGGCACTCCAAAAGTCAGCATGAGGAAAGCGGCACTGGATAGCTGCAAACAAAGAGGCAAGCTCTAGAAGCAACATAGAAGAAAATCTTGGAGTACAATAGAAAAGTGCTAGAAAAAACAGGTTAGCCTGCCACATACAGCTGAAATGAAGACGTCCATCTACCTGGAACACTAGCAATAAAAGAGGCATGCTGGTAGTGGGAGGGTTTATCCTGGATTGACCTACAGGTATTTATTTGCCAGTGTCCAATTCTCCTGTAGGCAGCAGTATAAATGAATGAAAGGCTTCCCATGTCTCTCAATGGATGAGAAAGAAAATACATTTAAAATAAAATAAAAATACACACAGTATAAACAAGATGAATGAGCAACAAGCTAACCAACAGAATTAGACAAGTTTAAAGAGAGCATTGCAGTTTTGAAGCAGACAGTGTGAAATAGGCTATATATTTTTCCAAAAGAAAACATTTAGAATTACGCACACACCAAATTCCCTTTGTAGGCATTTTTACGGCAGCACTAATGAGCTACATTGTTTCACCAGACCAACAGGAAGTAGGCTGTTGAAATAGCCTTGCCTACAATAACTTTAAATTGCTTTGCCAAAGGAAGTTACAGTCACACCTAATTGTTAAAAAATAATAATTGTGGGACTGAATTACCAGGGTGCTAGCAAACGTTCCTAAAAAGGATTACGATTTCTCTGTTCATCTTTTACCACAGCGCAATAGTATTGTGTGACAAGTAGTGACAACTGACAAATTACAATCAAACTATTTACCAAGGGTAGCCTTTACAGCCATGAGTTCATATGGGTTGAGTAGTGGCCGACACTGATTTACACCTATTGATGCCTGCAACGTTTCAGCATCAACATCACTCGGCAGTCCCAGTGGTGCAGAAGCAATGGAACCTCTCCTCTCTCAGGTAAGAAAACACTAATCTTATCAGCTGTCTGGAAGAGGAAGCATTCTTCCACTGACCACCAGCAAGATCAAGGAATGTAGCACACCAAGTGTATTTGTCATGCAGAGCAAATCATTTTTTATATCAACAACTTGCTGCTAAAGCATATGCACCATAAGCTTTAATAAGATATAATCTTTATCAGGGTTTTCCCGAGACCTAACAATTATGCATTTTTACATCTACGGTATATTCCTTAGTAAGATCATTATGTTCTAATCAAAACAAAGACATGTTAAAAGCATTTACACCATAAGCAAAACAAGGAAATCTTACAAAGACAAAAATAGAGTATAACAGTTTTCTCCCTTACAAATCAATAAGCTGGCTATCATCCCTGCGCAGCACCAACAGTCTGGGTCATATGCTATGCTACATTACACTTCTGGGGAAGAATTTAAAAATAACCCTTGCACTAGCCTCCACCCTACACTGCAAGAGTTAACCCTTCCAGAGTATCATACATCGGTGGAAGCACGGTTTACACTTCTTCGGCCAACTTTTTGCTGGAAGTGATTTGAAAGCTGCAACGCATTACCTGTGCTTGATTTGCTTCAATAAAGTGTAGGGGAGACATTACAGGTCTAAAAGACCCATAAGGTCTCGATAACTAGAACCTGTCACTTCTATTGTGCTATCAAAAAGGGTCTTGTCAGCCCTCAAATGCAATAGCAATAAAGTAAAGTTCTTAAACACCACAAAACAGTTTTTTAAAGCCCCCTTTCCCCATACAAATGTAAATGCAAGCGTTCAGTGTGCCACACATTGGGTATCGCCACGCACACCAATGTGGAAGCAATCATTCTAAGGCAGGGAACACCCCACTGCAAGGGTCATTATTTTAGTTCAGCTTTTAATTCATGTACAAAAGGTTAGCCGAGTGAATTCTGAGTTTAGCATAGCAGTAATGTTTTAAAGATAGCACTAGCAATTCACAAAATGATTCTACTCATTTCCACTTAAAACACCTGAGCACTATTATACCTAAATTAGCTTACCCATTTGTATAGAAATTTCACCAATCGCCCAGGTAGCATTGTTGCATACAGAAATTAATTCAGGGTTTAAATTTGTTCCTAGGATGGGCATGAAATCCGCTAAAAAAAAACAAAAAAAACAAAAAAAAAAAAACAGAACTTTGAGTATATGTAATAAAAATGCTTAAATGGAGAACTATGAGGTGAGTGATTTACTCATCCTCATAGTTAAGAGCCGACCTGTGACAATAAAACTGTTACACTTCGGCTCTATAGACAGAGAAGTAAACGAACACATACCATCGATCGCTCCCTTCCCAATCATCTCCCCGCAGAGAGCGGTGACCGTCAGTCACCACTCCCCGCCGGGATTCCCCCCTCTCCGATCCTCCAGCACTGACTGGAGGAATGGACGGTTGATGGGGCGAGCACAGCTGGCTCTGTCCTTAGATAGGCAGACCTGCTGTCAATCAGCCAGCTGGGTGGATCTCGACAGTATTGTCTGGATCTGTCCCGGCTTCGGCGCTCTCAGAATATAGCTCCCTATATACTGAGTTTGGGAGGACGTTAGAATATGTCCTCCTCTTGTGACCTTAAAGAGAACTAGGGGATATGTTTACCCCATAGTTCTCTTTTAAGTATTAAAATCTGTAGTGCTAAAGGAGAATTATGGGGTGAGTGAAAACACTAATTTTCATAATTCAAGCCGACTTGTGACAAAGAAGTTGTCACAGGTCAGCTCTAATGATCAGGAAGTCAGCGAACACATACCACCGATCGCTGACTTCCCGACCCTCTCCCTGCAGAGAGTGGCGACTTTCAGTCATTGCTCCCCACAGGGATTCCCACCTCCTTTCTCCGATCCTCAAGCGCTGAGTGGAGGAAGGAACAGGGGAGGGGGCGAGCACAGCTGGCTCTGCCTCTCGATAGGCAGAGCCTGCTGTCAATCAGCCAGCTGGGTGGATCTCGATAGTATTGTCGGGATCCGTCCCGGCTGCGGGGCTCTCAGCATATAGGGGGCAATAGCTCGCTATATACTACGTTTTGGATCACCAGAGGACACAGTATATGTCCTCCCGTGACCCTGAGAACTATGGGCAAAAAAGGTTTCCTCATAGTTCTCCCATAAGGCAACTGTAATAAAAATAAAAAATCCTTGTAAAAGAAGAGGTATTATACTTAATCACACTGCCCACGTGTTGGATCTTTGCTCTCACAGCTGAAGAATCTTCAGCATCCATCACTTCCAGCAGTGTCAGATGCCTGGTCCCACACTGCATGCTGGGCACAGCAGTGACTGGTGGCCAACAAGTGGAACCAGCATACAGCTGGGAACCAGGCATCCAATATTCCTAGAAGGAGGTCATATTCTTTAGTCAGCATATATCTTAGAGAGCGAAGACCAGCTGTGCTGGTGCGGGACAGGCAAGTATAATCCCTGTCAAAAAGAAAAGGGAGGTATATATTTATTTTTTATATATTTTATATTTATGTGACAGATTGGCTTTAAATTGAATAGAAAGCATTGTACCATACGTACCAATGCATGATTTGACATGTTGAAAGCATGCCTTGGTCAGGTCTCCCAGTAACGCAAAAGAACTTTGCCTCACCTCTGGCATTTTATCCTAGGGAAACAATTTGCAAGGAGGTCAAAAGGAAGCAATACAAAAAAGGATCAATATTTACATACAGCTGATCAAACTGTACGTCAAAAATCTCTTACCTGCATACACTGGTACATTAGAGTCAAGATGTTGCTCCGAGCCACAAGTTGTTCAATGTTGCCACCAAGCCCTTCAGCTAGTCCACTCAATAGATCTAGGGCCACAATCATAAAATCTTTATCTGGAGACTCACACTGGTCTGGCTGAGCATTGTGCATCTGAAATTAAAAAAAGACTAAGTCACTACTTTTTATACAAGTCTTAAAAAACTCACTTTTTGTTCCACTGAAGAAAGGTCAAAAGGTGAGGCCTCTCTGCCACATCCTTCACACTAAGCTCAGGTCTTTATGGATCTGGCTGTGAGCACAGGGGCACCCTTTAAGCTGGAACAGAAAAGAGCCTTCCCCGAACGCTGGCACGAGACTGGAAGCGCACAGTTGTCCAAAATGTCTTGTAATGCATGTTGTATCATAAATAATACCTTCACTAGAAATACCTTGCCTAAATTTGGAAGAAGGGGGTGGGGGTGTATAGCTTATGACATTCCAGAGGACATAACCATGGAAACAGACATCCATTTTGGTGGACTAGTTCCTTGCAGGTCAAGCATGATACGCATATTGCCACTGCTGTGGAAAGTATCATTGCCAAGACATCACTGCCGAGACCTCACGGAAAACATGACAGCATTATGTCCAAACTACACCATATTTTTTAATTGCATCTTAGCAAACAAAGGGTGTTCACTGTAGCATAGCCAGCCAGTTCAGTTTTACTGCCCTTTCTCATTTCAATAAACACATACTTGAGAAGCAGCTCTAAGGAGAGCTGAAGTAAAAAGCAGAGAAAGAAAAGAGACAGCATTATATTACACCATTGTGTAGACTTATGCGGATAAAACATTACCATTGCTTGCTGAAGGGTCTTTTGTACCAAGTTCACACAACGCTGGTATACAGGTTCACAATATGGTAAAAAACCAGACTGAAGTGCAGTAGCAACGGAAGATAAGCAGAGAAAGAAAAGAGACAGCATTATATTACACCATTGTGTAGACTTATGCGGATAAAACATTACCATTGCTTGCTGAAGGGTCTTTTGTACCAAGTTCACACAACGCTGGTATACAGGTTCACAATATGGTAAAAAACCAGACTGAAGTGCAGTAGCAACGGAAGATAGGCACTGGAACAATAATGAAAAAAATATATACAAAAGATTACCTTTCATGTAAGAGCGCAAGGTACTGCGAATACATTTAACTGCTTTGCCCTATTCAGGAGAACAGATTTATAAAAGAAGTCAACACAAAATGGACAGTGTAATACAGATCTCCAGAAAAACCTTTAACATAGATGTGATCATGCACGTTACCCCTTGAAGTCATATGACAAAACGTGTCTGGAAGCACGTTTCCCGCTACACAAACTTTGCAGATTGTGGATTTGGTATTGCTCAGTGTAAGTGTATCAGTCTATTATTCACAGTGATTCACACACGAGAGCATTGCAGCATACCACTGGTATTTCGGGGTTAATATACAAGTGCAGTTAAGAGGATCATTTATAGATGTGATCAGGCTTCAATCTTTAAATCATTAAGAGATTGAGGGAAAGGCTTAATTTGTTCCTGTTAAAGTGGGAAAGCTTATTTTAATGTGCTTTTCTTTCTGACTCCCATCATGGCACATAGAAAAGTCCACATAAAAGAAAAGTCCACATAAAAGCAATAGAACTCTGATAGAGGTTATAACCCTTCCCCACCCTACTAAAAATGTTTTTCACTAGGCAAAAAAAAGTGACCTGCTTCTGGCTGTTGGGGGGTTTGGCCACAATCAGGGGCCACCCCTAGGCTGAGCTTTTGTTATGTGCCTAGTGTCCTACTCCTGAAGCTATAACCCTACTGGTTAAGATCTGAAAATCTCCACTGTGCCCTTCAATGAAGGAAAGAGAAAATGTTTTTGGCTCGGGCAGTGTCGCTATTGGAGGAGATTTCCTCCAATTTCCTGTTTTCTTTCACATTCATCATACACATGACATAAGGGAAAATAGACATTACACAAAGCTAGAAGGTAAAAAAGTGTATGCCAGTGGGGCTCAGTGTATGTAATCAAAGCTTAACCGATGCCTGTTAAATGGTTAAGGCTGTGCCAGCACTCCAAGATCTGTACACAACACACTCAAACTGGGGATAAAGGTTGCTATAAGGGCTTTGAGAAATTAACTGGAAGCGCATGCTGCATAAAGCGTGTGAGACACTGCACGTGAAGCCGTGCAGAGCGAAGCAAAGCTGTCAGGCACGGAGCTTCGCATGCAGTGTGTGAGCTGAGTGCAGTCAGATGAATGACTGCATCTACAGCCAATCAGCCCGCGCGTAACAACCGGATGGCGTTCGCATCGTGCCATGCGGGTTTCCTCTCGATACGTTTAGCTATGCGAACTCTCGCAAGCTGACGTGTCTGAGAGAAAACTACATGACATTACTTGCAAAGGCAGCGCACCACTGCTTCGCGTGCAATGTGCCAGACGTCAACTGACCATTATGTTTGTGTAAGACTCCACCTGGCTGGACACAACTTGGGAGTATTGTTATGGGTAGCTCTTCAAACTAAACTGTTAAATGTTGTTGATCTGGCAGAATAAAGCTAAAATTGTATGACTAAACACACCTATTTTTCCCTGCTCGGTAATGTGGTATACATGATCTCCTAGAGCAGTGGTTCTCAACCTGTGAGTCGGGACCCGCTCGGGGGTCGAATGACGATTTGCCAGGGGTCGCCTAGTGGCTCTCGGCAGCCGGGAGAGAGACACTTTCTCTCCCTCTGTTCTGTTTTTTTGGAAAATCGGGGGCCGCCGTAAGTCAGATAAAACCCCCCCCCCACCTATTTCACTTTGAAGAAGCCAATAGTAAACTAGCTATTGCACCCGCCCTCTGATGCTGCCAATCAGCAGAGGGGGACCTGAAGTTCTCCATCAGGTCCCCTTTTAGCAGAGGGCGGGTGCAATATGTATGTATTCAAGCAAAAAAATATGTAAAACACAATTCTAGCTATGCATTCCATTTTCCCGGTCCGCAGCTGCAGAGATCGGGAAATGTCTCAGTGCCTGTGATTGGCGCTGTCAGCTTCCTGGCGGGCTCGGCACGTGGAGCTGCGAACACGCCCGAGCCCATCCCCATCAGTGACAGTACTGCGGAGTATGTACCTCATACGTTATATAGCCTCTCACTTTAAATCCAATTCTTCTAGTTCCAGCTGCAGAGCCCGGTCCTGTCTTTGCCCATAGCAGTGGTTCTCAACCTGTGGGTCGCTGTGCAAGGTGAGAGTCCTCCTCAGCTCTCTCCAAGCGCAGCAGTGTCAGTTCTCCCGCCACGCCTCCAGATGTAGCTGCAGCAGCCGCGTCATCCCTAAATTTTACCTTTGGGGGTCACCACAACTTGGCAAATGTTACCAAGGGGTCCCGGCCCTAGAAAGGTTGAGAACCACTGTCCTAGAGGATCCTGAGAATGGAAACTAAGAACCATAGGAGAAAGCAGTTCCCCTTTGTAGCTGGCATCAGATGGTATAAAAATAAAAGCAAGCTACAAAAAGAAAGCAAAAATCAGATGGCAGGTCTCAAATCAAATTTTCTGTTCCGCTTTTTCTCAGCGACTCATCTCTCATTCAGAGGGAACAGTAGAGGCTAAAACAAGGCTGGACAAATTTTAGGAGACAGGTAGCCACTGTGCCATGAAAATTACAGCTGGTACCTAATTTTTGGGAGGTTCTCTCTAGTTGTCAATGGTGCCTAAAAAAATCCTGCCGACTCCTGGATTGGACAGATTGGCTCCTAAATTTTATATCAAATTGTCCACCCTTAAGCTAAACAGAGGTGGGATTTAAACCAGGGCTAATTAAATCAACGCAAATTACATAGACCCTAAACAATTTTACACCTTCGTGATGGGAGACGTATGCTGTATGTCCCCGCCATGAAGTTTCCAAATGACTGATCATGTACACTGTACGTGATTAGCTATTTGAAGCTATCAAAAGCCGGTAACCCTTGAGATCAGCGGTTACCGTTCATTAATAGATGCCTCAGTATTGTGCTTCACTATTAGCACAGCAGCTGACGAAACAACGCTAGGGATATAGTTTAGGCGCGGCGGTTATAATAATTTTATACAGGTTTTTACTTCTATCTGGTACTCCATTAGAGGGATTTTGAATGGGAGACAGCTAATCTCTCTAATGAAGCCCTGCTTATATTTACCCAGACAGCAAGTGACTGTTACTTTCCAACAGTAACACAGGCAGAAAAAAAATGCTTTTCTATAGTAGAATATAAGAAAAGCTAGAACCCCTGTTGGATGTCCCCTGTTGCAGCGTTTCCCTCACCTCCTGTATGGTAAAACTGTTAACAGAACAGGAAGTGAGGATAAAATGGAGCCCCAAATAGCAGTATAAACCAGAAAGGGGTTCTAACATTTTCCCGCTCCATCCAAACCTAGAGAAAGTTTTTGGCACACTATAACATCGAGACATTAAAATGCGTAAAATGGAACGACTGGGGCGTTCCAAGACTTTAAAACAGTAATGTTACTGGTTTAAAAATAATGAATGCCAAACCATCCAAAATACATCAGACTGGTCTTATACAATACCTTAGTAAAAATATAACCAAAAGAAACCCGCACCTATGACACGAAGCTCAGAAGGACTCACCTCAAGTAAAGGGAAAAGATCCTTGTCTTCATCCTTTAAAACATTCCATTTCTGAATAAGTGGAGGCATTAACATCTGAATATACTCCTATGACCAAGGTAGAAAACCGAGTTAGGAAATATCCATTCGGCTTGATTTTAGTAAATAAAATATTAAGAAGGGAATTTATCAAAACTGTAGCAGACGGAATCTGGTGCAGTTGTCCATGACAACCAATCAGCTTTCCTCTCATTTTCATAACTAACCGAACACACTGAAGATAGAAGCTCAATGGTTGCAGCGCACAGCTGCTTCAGATAGTGTCTGCTCCATATTTGATAAATTCCCCTGTGTGTGTTTAACTAGCCTTAGACCAGAAATACAAATAACATGAAAACGTGCTAATAGCTGCTTATTTAATCATGCACTACGCATAGCTCTCTGGACGAGAAATGGTTGCGGTTACAAATGTTCTGTAATCTACCAGTAAATAATTGGATTAAAAAAATGAAGAGACTTATAAGATCAGCTGTTTGCCTAGGTCTGTATTTTGCATTTGGATGCACTGACTGGCAGAAAGTTAATCTACATTAAGCCCAAATGCCTGCTTATGAAAGATATCTATATGTTCATGGACAACTTAGTCTTAGACTAAAAAGTACTTAAAGTATATTGCTTAATAGAGGAGCTTATGAAGCTTTAGACTTAAAGCAAAGTTATATTGCACTACGTTGATATTAGGTATGTACCGATACTGAGTATTTTGCTGAGCACTAGTACTCGCTCCAATAATTACCCTGATAACAAAATTTACTGCCAGTCAGAGGCAATCTCCCTCTGACTGGCAGTGCCACGAGGGAGCATGGAGCCGGCTTCCTGGCTAATCAGGAAGCCAGGCGGCATGTCATGACTAACCTCCCTGCTTGGCTACAAAGCTGGCTTTACTTGTTGCTTAACATTGGGGATGTCCCGATACCGGTACTAGCATCGCTATCGGGACCGATACAGGGCATTTTGACGAGTACTTGTCAAAATGCCCCGATACATATCGCCGAAGCTTGCGATAGGTGTTTTTTTTCTCTTGCCTCGCCGAGCGTCGCTTCACTGCTGCTCCGGTGGGCGGCGCTCCAGGTGGGGTCCTAATTTAGGTGGCCGGCGACTGCCTAGAGGACCCCACTCGTAGCGCCGCCCACCGGAGCAGCAGTGACGCGGCGCTCCTCTTCAGCTCAGCGCCGTCCTTCAGTGCTGGAGAGCAGCGGCGAGTCAGCACTGGTCTGGTGGGAGGAGCTCAAGGTGAGATCTTAATTTAGCTGGCCGGCACCTCTGGGCCAGCTAAATTAGGACCCCAAGGGGGGGGGGCACTATTAAGAAGGGGATAAATGTAAATGTATGGTCTCCAGTGTATTAGCAGTGTGTACTCTATGTAGCACATATAGAGTACACACTGCTAATACACTGGAGACCATACATTTACAATTCTCCTCTGCTGACACACATGGAATAAATATCCTTCAGTGCTGGAGAGCAGCGGCGAGTCAGCACTGGTCTGGTGGGAGGAGCTCAAGGTGAGATCTTAATTTAGCTGGCCGGCACCTCTGGGCCAGCTAAATTAGGACCCCAAGGGGGGGGGGCACTATTAAGAAGGGGATAAATGTAAATGTATGGTCTCCAGTGTATTAGCAGTGTGTACTCTATGTAGCACATATAGAGTACACACTGCTAATACACTGGAGACCATACATTTACAATTCTCCTCTGCTGACATGAATGGATTAAATGATCCATATGTAGCCCTATACTATGGATCATTTAACCCATTCATGTCAGCAGAGGATACTTGTAAATCTATTAGTACATGTACATATAGAGTGCACTGCAACATGTACTATATATAGAATGCACTGCAACAATAGATTTACAATTCCACACTAACATGAATAGGTTAAATGATCCATAGTACATAATAGTACATAACATGTAGTTGTACTACGGATCATTTAACCCATTCATGTTAGCAGTGCAGAATTGTAAATCTATTGCTGCAGTGCATTCTATGTGGTACATAGTACATGTACAGATTCCCAATTCACTGCAGCAATAGATTTACAATGATCCCCTGCTAATATGAATGGGTTATATGATCCAACTAGTACAACTACATGTTATGTACTATGGATCATGATTTAACATATTCATGTTAGCAGGGGAGAATTGTAAATCTATTACTGCAGTGTACGGGACATGTGTGCTGTATATCTACTATGGATCATGATTTAACCTAATCATGTTAGCAGGGCAGAATTGAACACCTCCCACAAGCTGAGCACCGAGACGCGATGCACGATCCTGCCCAGCGCCGACTACGAGAGGCACCGCGTGAGGCAACAGGGATCGCAGTGAAACTGAGTGAGGAAAGCTGGGACAGGGCTGGCTGTAAATCTATTGCTATAATGTACTGGACGTATGTAATGTATATGTAGTACATATATACAACACACACCTCCACTACACTACAGCAAAAGATTTACAAATCTCCCCTGCCAACATGAATAGGTTAAATCATGATCCATAGTACATACCATGTAGTTGTACTATGGATAATTTAAAGTCACCTGCCCCTTAAGAAAAAGTATCGGTAATTAATATCGGCAAGTACATGAGGGGAAGTACTTGTACTCGGTCTTGAAAAAGTGGTATCGGGACATCCCTACTTAAAATAATATCAACTAGGGATGCAACGATACCGGTTTTTCGGTATAGAGTACGAGTACCAATATTCTTTTTTCTATTGAAAGAACCCTGGCTTCACATTCCGAGGCAGCCTGGCTTCCTGACCAATTGAAGCACTCATCCTAGCCAATCAGAAAGTGAAGCCGTCTTCCAAGCCAATCAGGAAGCCTCGAGGGGGGTCATGACGTGCCGCCCGGCTTCCTGACTGGTCAGGAAGCCAGGCTGCCTCGGAACACGACGCCGGTGTTCTTTCGATAGGAAAAATATATAAAATCGGTACTCTATGCCGAGAAAACTGTATCGATGCATCCCTAATTGACATTATGTTAAGTTCCCTGATTGTAAACATTTTTACAAAATTTCTCTATTATTCATGAAAAAGCAAAAACACAGCCAGTACACAAATTGATAGGAAGAACTGTAGGTATGTACTCACTGGCTTATTTAAGTGATGGCCAACCGAATCTGCTAACGTTCCTATAGCATCATAAAGGATGAGAAGGTTTTTGTGCTGGTATTTACTGAATGCAAAGACCAATGTATCCAGAATGTAAGCCAAATAGGGAACAAGCTCGGTACAAGCCTCCTCTTCTAAAGTAGCAAAGGCACTAAAGGAATACAAAAAAAAGAATGAAAGGTTTCCAAGCATATGGAAAAAACATACTACAGATCATTTATTTAGGATTGGAGTTTGCATTTCTCCTTGGGCTTTCTGCACAACAGTGTAGACGTTTCCTTAAACACTGAATTGAACACTTGCATACTAAGCCATCACACCCATCAAGAGAAAGCATGGGCAGCCAGCACTGACCTCCTCCTGAAAATCCTAGTTCCCTGGCTGATTTCAAATAATTTATAAATCAATGGCCAGGAACAAGTATGCAGCAATTGAAACTCCTAATCTGTATACTTGCTCCAGATCTGCGACCCAAAGCATTAAAGCCAGGGAGTCCTCATTACAGATAGGCAATAGCGGTCCCCATATTTCTCACAAAGTGGGTTGTTTCAGCTCAATTCACCGTTTCTCACTAAGTAGCGCACTGGCTTTGCATAGGACTTTAGAATACATTGATAGCGCTATAATAATTATTTTAAAAAAATGATCACAGTACCTTCTTGCAACAACAACCACAGTATTAGCATTTAAAATTGTTATGCATTATTACCAAAGTAAGCCCATGAGATTAATACAAATATTGCACTTCTGGAAAAAAACAACATTATTTACAACACACAAGCCAAACATTAGCATACCTGCAAGCAGCTTCTTGTACTCGTTTGTTGCTGTCAAGGATTCGTTTTAGCAGCTCTGTCATTAATGGCTTTAAATACATGTCTGGGGGCTGACTGACTACCCAGTGTGCATAACGGCTAAGGGTCCAGCAAGTAATGGAACGCACAAGAGCCTTCTTATCAGCAAGGCACTGAATAAGATGCGGTATTAGCTCAGGGAGGTAAGGAATCATACCCTGCATGCAACCTAAAACACAAAAGATTAATAAATCATTAACAGGTGTTTAGTGTGCATTTTATCCCCACTTGAACAAACTTGCAGTTTCACACACAAACCCTTTTTTTTTTTTACACAATTTAGACCAAACAGTACAAATCAGGAGGGGAGGTGGGGAAGATCTCAAATTATATTTTGGTATTATTTATGGTTTATGCAAGCTATTCTCCAACAGCTTAAAAGTCCAATCGAACCTTCAGTTAAAAGCTGCTAAATACATCCCAGCAAAACAAAAAAGGTGTTAAATGCCTTCTGGTGCATTTTCTTTGTAAAGAAGCCACAGCCTGAGTAGAAAAAGCACTTGTCCTGCCAGCAAGCTGCAGACTTGCACCCCTGCGGGTAAGCAGTAATCTCTTCACAGAGGTCTGATACACCCCCGGCTGAGTAAGAGCTCCCCAATCAGCAAGGACCATGGCCATTGCGCATCACAGAGCAACAGGACAGCAAGAGCGCCACTCTGAGGCTGCTGACAGGGTACAGGCTTTTCTATGTAGGATATGGCTGCTTTGAGAACGAAAACTGAAAGATAATAATCCCCTTTGTTTTAATTAGGGAAGCCCTGATACCGACAGAGTATTTGGGTGAGTACTAGTACCCAAGTGTTCCAATGCCTATTCTGATAGCCGAACTTCTGGTATCAGTAAGCCGGGCAGCGAGTTATTACACGCTGCCCAGCTTCCCAATTGGCCGGATTGCCGTCTCCATGCTCCCTCGTAACTTGGTGACAAGGGAGCATGGAGCCGGCCAATCAGGAAGCCGGCAGCGTGTAATGACTGATTGGCTCGATTCCTGACCAGTCAATATCCGCCCCCGGCTTCCTGATAGGCCAGAAAGCAGCCTTCATGCTACCTCGTCACCTGGCCAAGCAGGAAGTCGGGCGGCCCCTAATGAGTCGCCACTCGGCTTCCTGTTTGCTCGAGAACCTGGTCAATCAGGAAGCCAGGCAGCTTGTCATTACCTGCTCTGATTGGCCAGAAAGCCGGCTCCATGGTTCTTCATCACCTGGTGACGAGGAAGCATGGAGACGGCTTCCCTGCTAATCGCCGTTACCAATACCGGAAGTCCCATTAAGGAAGCCAGGTGGCGTGTGAAGACATGCCACCTGGCTTTCTTAATGGGACTTCCGGTATCGGTAACGGCGAGTACCGAAAAGAAAATATTGGTACTCGTTTTCAATACCGAAGAACCAGTATCGTTGCATCCCTAGTTTTAATGCACCTGGAATGTATTTACCAATTTAAACCTAAGGTTCAAATTGCCTCTAAAGAGACACTATTGAAACATATGCTTAAAGTTACAGTATGTAGCAACAGGCAAACGCCCATAGACCAAAACAATCAGCAGTCAGAATACATCAGACATATATACTACCCAATTCTTTGTACAGGATCAGTATGGGTACACACAGCAGTAAAATCGCTTCATAGAGGTATTCAATTAAATAGGTCGTGGGTATGGGTTGTGTTGTACCCCTCTGATGAACCCCAAGAAAGTTCTAAAATAAAAAGAGCAAATATTAACCCTCTGCAATAGCTCCAAGTACAAGGATTCCTGACTCCTTGACTACCCATTCTGGATGAAAAAGAAGTTCTTTCAACAGAGGCAAGATGTGTGGCAGAAGCTCGTCTCGAAATACATTAGCAAGCACATCAAGGGCTGCCGCTGAACATTTCCCTGGAGAAAAAAGGAAACACAAATCAATTGTCACTAACTTGAACATAGTGGTTTCAGGTCAAGCTAAACATTTAGTAGTTATTGATAATCCCCAGTTCTACATCTTTGTGCACAGCGAGGATTCTATCATTTATGGGGCGATCTTCCCCTTACTGTACCGGGGCAACAAGAGCCTAGTGAGCTGCAGTGTTCTTTCAGTCAAGTTTTGTTGTCCATATATTCCTATTCACCAGTGACATCACTTTGGCGTTCCCCATCGCAAGCATAGAAGGAATATCTACTTTAGCCACATGACCAAGGTCTTCAGCATAAAGTTAAAAACTGCTTCTAATATCCCAAGAGGGTTTAGAAGACTTTAATAGCTCAGTGACATCAAATTTTGCCCAAATCCAGCAGAATAGAAAAGATCTAGCGGAGCTCTTAACTTCTAAAAATGTTAGATTATGCCTAACTCACTTATATTCCAGTCAGATATCGTCTCATCATCATCAAGGTCATCTTCATCTTCCTCATCTTCTTCAATCCCATCCTCCTCATGAGGTTGGGCCACCGTTCGCGATCTGTGAAAGCGAGGTCGGATATCCTGCTCACTGTCAGGCACAGCTTCATCCTCTTCTACATCACCCTAGAAAGTAAAACATCAATTGTTGCATAATCAACACCTACAGTGTGAGTAACAGCAGGGATACTGGTAAGAAAACATAGGGAAAGGTCCCTCACCTTAAGTAAGATGATATCGATTTCTGAATACTTCATCCCATTCACCAAAACCGGTATCAACCTAAGAAAGATGGTGAGATAGTAAAACATTACTGAAAAGGTACACAAGAGAAGAAATCTTAAAAATGCATTCAAGTACCTTAACAAAAATTTATCTTATCTGTGTATCACTCGGCTGTAGATCCTCAAATCATCTCTGAATTGGTGCCGACACTGTCCTTCCTTCTGGAGGGGGGCTACTTTTGTTCCCCATGTGTGCGTATTGTAAAGTAGTCACCGCTCCAAGCTCACTCCCGTGATGGACTACAATCTCACGTTTAGTTTATTTGCATTGAGATTGTAGTCCATCATGGGAGTGAACTTGGAGCGGTGACTACTTTACAACACACACACAGGGACCATGGGGAACAAAAGTAACCACCCTCCAGAAGGAAGGACAGTGTCAGCACCAATTCAGAGATGATTTGAGGATCTACAGCCGAGTGATACACAAATAAGATACGTTTTTGTTAATAGTCAAGGTACTTGAATGTATTTAAGATTTAACTCCTGAGTTCAGTGGCACTTATACATATGAAACATATACAAACAGAATTGCCATTTCAATTAGATATTGGCAGGCCAAATCCCACTATGGTTTTTAATACCAGTTGGTCTCTGCACTTGATTACCCATATCTACCCACACACTTGGACAATTAGAAGGCATTTACGGTCATTTTTCACCATCTACATTAACAATATTCAGAGCGCAAGCATAATTGTTCAACTTCCTGCACCAGGAGGCACTATAACCTGGGCAGGGCCATGTACAAATGCAGTTAAGTCTCCCTAGTTGGGATACAAGTAGTAGGAAACCAGTGGGTAATTCACTCCACCAGCATACACCCTTAACTGAATTTTAGGACTGATGCTTCAAATATACAGTTTAAAAAAGACAAATTCACTTACTTAGCAAGATGGCGGCAGAGTACTTCTTTGCAAATAGGCTGCTCAGCAAGGGTCAGCCAAAACTCACAAGCCTCTAATGCCACATTTTCATCAGGGTCCTGTGTTCTCAGCAGCATGTACTGTTGTCACAAGGCAGAATAGAGAAACCACTTAAGTACAGTACAGTCTACAAATACAATGTACACAAATCATTGATTAGGCACAACTGAATTGGGTGTCAGGACATAGCCAGAGCAGGATTATGTCCCTTTATAATCCTTGTGAATGCACTCTTACTTTTATGGTATACCCAGGGCTCAAACACGCATACAAATGTCAGCAGCTGTAGGTAACCACACCTCTAACTCAACCTGTCAGTGGAGCAGGTATGAACTGACAAGCTCAATTCCGCTTTAGGCTTCCCTGTCAATCATGATGATGCGATTGTAAGGCTGGGAGAAAATCACAATATGGCACCCGCTGATTTCAAACTAACGCAAAGAAATATGGGCACAGAATGATGGATGAACACCTATTGGCTAATCTTCATATTAACAGACCTTCCCAAAATGGAGACCACTAAAGGATTACATTTAGAGATCCAAACAACAAAGTTTAGAAACCATACTAACAATTTTGCGTAGGCTGGGTTCACACCTAGGCAGCACCATGCGGTTATTTGCCCACTTATGCTCGTTTTGCACATTTTGATGCGTTTTTACACGCGTACATGAAGACGCGCATTTTGACTGGCAGCTTATGAAACATTGCGGGCAATGGAAGAACGCGTGTTTAGACAAGTAAAACCGCTCACAAAAATGTGCAACATGCTTCTGCCGCGTGTTTTTTTGGGCATTTCCATTGAAGTCTATGAGGCAAAAATGCGCTTTTAGCTGCCCAAAGAAGCTCATGTACCTTTTTGTGCGTATTATGCTTAGGTGTGAACAAGGGCCAGGGCAAGACAGGGCAAGCACTGAGGCAATGCCAGAGTTTCTGGACCTGAAAAATACTCCAGGTATTACTCTAGCTTACCAGAACAAACTCTGGAAATGGTGAAGACGAATGTGCCACAATTAAATACAAAGCACTGGCAAAAATGTTGAGAAGAGTTTTGATTGGAGAATAAAAAAAAGAAAACAGGGTGCTAGCAAAATTTAAACTTTTACACATCAGAGCTGAAAAATAAATGCCTATCCTCCTAAGTAAACTAGCAAAAAAAAGTCATGTTGCCACTGTAAGGCGTTATCTTTTAGATTGTAAGCCCTCACGGGCAGGGCCCTCCTTACAATCTTGTCTTAAATTGTATTGTGACTGTAATGTCTTCCTTATATTGTAAAGCGCTGTGCAAACTATTGGCGCTATATAAATCCTGTATAATAATAATAATCATAGGCTGAACTACAGTTTTAGATTTGCCAGTGGGAAAACCTCCTGTAGGTGGGGTTATAACACCAAGTTTAAAGACTTCCTGCATTCCTTGGATGAGAAATACATTTACTTTTCTTGAATAAGAGGAAAAAATTGGGATGAAAAACACCTGAATTCTGTCTTTGTCCTCCGTTATGCAGTATGGTGGTAAAACTGCTGAAAACTGTACATTTCAAGTACTCACTACAAGAGCCATCATCTACGTGGATGAGAGTGAAAGCAGCAGGAAAAAGTCACTTTGTAAGGATTGTGCTGCAAAGGCGCCTTTTTATTAGAGGTGCATTGAATGAAATTTTCAGGCCAAAAACCAAAATGTAGTTTAACCTTTTTAAAACAAATTTTTAAACATTTTAATTATTTTTTTATTTTACTGTTAAACTGTCTAAACTGAGGATATAGTATGAGTTACTATGTCCATAATCATGAATGAACAGAAGTGTTGTAGAGCACTTCCTATTCATTCATTGAGGATACATTAGGGATGCACCAATACCGGTATTTTGGTACCGAGTACGAGTACCGATAATTTTTTTTCGGTACTTGCCGATACCAATTACCGAGTAACGGAAGTCCCATTCCGGAAGCCAGGTTGGTGTGTAATGACTCGCCACCTGGCTTCCTGATTAGCCGGGCAGCGTGTATAGTCGCCACCCAGCTTCCCCATTAACAAAAAAGTCCCCTCTTACCTTAGTATGTGCAGCCTGTCATCCCCCGGGGCCTCTCCAACAAGAACGCGGCCTTCGTCCGGTACCCAGCCGGAGCCGTCCAATCAGGAAGCCGGGCGCCGTGTAATGACGCGACGCCCTGCTTTCTGATTGGCCGGCTCCATGCTCTCTTGTCATGAGATGACAAGGGAGCATGAAGCCAGCTTCCAGGCCAATCAGAAAGCAGGGTGTCGCGTCATTAGACGGCGCCCGGATTCCTGATTGGACGGCTCGGGCACCGGACGAAGGCCGCATTCTCGCTGGAGAGGCCTCGGGGGATGACAGGCTACACATACTAAGGTAAGGTAACCTTACCTCACGAGGCCAGCTTCCGGTCAATCGCGAAACCGGGCAGCGTGTAATGACGCGCTGCCCGGCTTCCTGATACCGGAAGTACTCGTGCTAGGCATCAGAGCATTTGGGCGAGTACAAGTACTTGCCCAAATACACGGAATCGGCACTGATATCGATACTAGTATCGGTGCATCCCTAGCAAACATACTATGTCCTCAATTATTTACAAACACTCAGCGGTCACTGATCGTTGAGCACTTGTAACCGCTCTCAGGGCCAATTCACACCATGTCTTGATCAGATGCGGTACGTTACATTTTTCTTCCGCGCCAAAAATGCACCCCAATGCATTTGTGTGTGATTTTTGGGCTCTGTTCCCACCGGTCCAGTCCGTCACATTTTTCCTGAACCGGAACGCACCCAAACGAGTCACCTGGGCTTAAGTTGACGTTCCGTCCCTTGGCTTCCTCACCACTAATTAAGGGCGACTGACCCTACATTAAATGTGATGATATCTTCGGGCCTCCGACCGCTTGAGTGGAGGGTGAGGGTGGAAAAGCCTGCAGGTGTCTGTTTTGGAGCGAACAGGGATAAGGTGTTCAACCGCCTTCCTCACAAACGCACCACGTTTGCAGATCTGGTCTGGACATGGTGTGACAGGGCCCTCCATCCTGACTCCATCGGCTATCACAGGAGGCAGAGTGGGTGGTGCGGAGCTCAGCCTCCTGTGACACAGCTGACTCCTACCCCGCACCGCTGGCTTGGCCTCCGGTGACAGCTGTCTCCTCCCCGCTCTCCATGAGTCTCTGTGACACACTTTCTAGCCTTCTCCACCCATATTAAGTGCAATGATATACCAAGATGACACAAACTATAATTTTCTGCAAAAAATAGAGATCCTATAAAACAATACATTTACAGACATACATATACATCATGTAACTTAGAAGTACAGTAAAATGAAAGCTTACCTCCACTATGTTGTGCATGTGAGGAAACAGACGGTCCATGCGAACTTCAAGCAACATGACAAGTGCCCGGCAAACATTTTTCCGAACTTCTGGTTCATCATCAGTGGCTAATGCAAACAAGTTCTGTAACACAAAGCATATCAGTTACATTTTACCACGTGCCATTCAGGGTTGGTCAGTGCTGACCTATTTAGAATGCTAATTGTCTGGCCGTTATGCTGATCCAGAAGCTTCTAAACAAGTATGTAGACCTGGAAAAATCAAGTCTTCCTCTACATACTTGTTTTGGGTAAATTATTCAAGTACTGAGGGTCAATATGAGAACCTGGAAGCTAGCATTTATGGAAGGAGAAAAGAGCAATGGCAGACTTCCTTTTTTTGTCATGACAGGTTTCCTTCAAGTCTGTTGCAAGAAAGCCAGGTAGGAGGATTAAACAAGTGCATAAAGAATTCTGGAGTTAAGCAGTTGAATCCTGGAGCAGAAGGTGGCACATGTACTTCCAATGACAATAAAGACCACTTCTAGACTTAGAGACTGCATTTGACTTCAAACTGTTCTGTTGGTTTGGGGAATCTAAAAACAGGAGACTGTTGGGCTGACTTATCCATGTCTGAAAACTCTAGATTAGGCTTTCACTTTTTTGGGGGGCAGCTCCAAATGGCTACTGAGATCTGTCCAACCCAGCTGATGCACCAAACTTAGGACCCATTCAAGGAACCCAGGCGTCTGCACTTCAGCTCTGTTGTTACATTAGAAATGTTTTAGCTCAGGTCAAGTTTACCTTAAAATCAATGTAAATGAGCACTCTTATTTCAGTGCATACCAAAGTGCATCCACCAGAATATAAGAGCTTACCCAATTACCAATCAATATATTTCTCAATATGTAGGACATCCCAGCCGAGGACATTTCAAGCAAATGTTCTCACAGTAGACCAGCAATGTCGACAACTATAAGACCACGTCCCGAAGGTTCTTGTCACTTGAACAGCGAGCATTCCATTTCCTGAAACCCCAAAACCCAATTCTCAAAATGTAATGTTCTCATAATAAGAGATAAAGACCCAGATATTGTGGCTTCAGGCATATACATTTCATGCAACTTAGGGCAGATGCTATTGGCAAATGCTGTTCAAAATTTTACCCAATTTGAAAAGACAAAAGCTGACTATATGCTGCAAATAGCTATTCAGGTCCCACACTAATAATTTTTTTTTTTTTAAATTAACTTCTGTCTGCGTTCATGTCTGGGTGTGTGTGCAATATTACTACTTCACCAGCAATTCACATCCAAGTGGAAATCTGCAGTCTTTTAATATTGATCTCTTCCTCCCAACTGAGGCAAGGCAGTAGTAACCCCACTCACCTGCAGCAAAATACACATCATATGCTGGCTTGAACTAATGGATATCAAAGATAATGTCTTTATTTATGGTCAGAACTGTTCATTATACTCCAGGATGCCCAACAAAGATGATGCTAGAATGCGGCTTAAATCCTGCAGTCGTTTGCCCATAACAGATAAAAAAATGTCACTCATTATGTACCATGAAAATCTGCTTTTTAAATGGCAGTGCAATTGCGTTTAGTTATCCTTCCAATCTGTTATAGAAGAGCCAGCATCAACTGGAGAGATCATCAGCTAGCGAATATATTTTTAGAATTTCAGCTGTGTCAGATTCCAATACTGCAAGTATCAACACTGCTGGTGTCAATATCTGCAGGTTCGAAACACATTACCAGCCTGATCATGCTTGATATAAGTGGAATTTGAGATAAATATGGATTAGTTTCTAAGCACAAGTGTTGTTCTATCACATCATGTTGTGCATCTTTTGGAGAATCAAAACACATTGTTTAATTTTGCATGTTTTAATTAGGAAGAAAGGGAGGGAGGGAGGGAGGAAGGGAGGAAGGAAGGAAGGGAGGGAGGGAGGGAGGAAGGAAGGAAGGGAGGGAGGGAGGAAGGAAGGGAAGGAAGAATAACCTAACAATTTCTCTATTTGTAGTTCTACTTCATTATATTTAATCCACAATCTAAGTTCATCTTTCTGTTTAGAAAAGCAATTTTCTCCACTTTTTGTTGTTACATCATATATTAGAAAGGGGAAAGAAACAATTCAGGTAATAGAAGAAAAAGCTCTTATTAACCCTTTCTCTGCCACCGACGTGAGGCTTAAGTCAGTGGCATCGACCTATAAACAGACTACCTTTCCTCATGTACTTGTCGGCTTTATAGCCCCCAGATCACTTCCACATTTACAGTAACAAGCAGCCAAATTTAACCACATTACGTGCGACATGACATGTGTAAGGATGGAGAGTGTCAGGAGATGATCGTCCCTTTGAAGAATAAGCCTGGGAGCGACCAGCTCTGATCACCTCCGGTTTCAGTGCGATCATTCTCTGGCCCCTCTGGCTGGGAATGAATGATTCTAACAGATTGTGCTTGACCAATTAGCTTCACAATGGTGCAGAGGTGAAATTAGGTATCCAACAGGTCCCTTGTTTCTCCTTAAGGCTGGGTTCACACCTGGGCGTACGGAAAATGCGCGTTTGCCGCACGTTTTTACCGCGATTTGCGGCAAAAGTGCGTGACAAACGTGCGTTTCCGAGGGCTATCTGGCTGTATCCTAATGGATACGCATGGCAAATATGCCCCAAAGAAGCTCCTGAATTTCTTTGGGCGCAGGGCGTTTTTCTGCGCGTTCCTACCCGCTGTAAAACGCCCAGGTGGGAACTATGACCATAGGCAATCATTGGTTTTTACATGTTGAGCGTTTTACAGCACGTAGGAAGTGCTGTAAAACGCCCAGGTGTGAACCAGACCTTAAGAAAGCCAGTCACTTACACTATGCTATCACATAGAGGGCTTATTAGTCGCCTCTTGATATCAAAATTAAAAAAAATTATAAAAAAATAAAAAAGTTTAAAAAACTAAAGTTTAAAAGTTTCTTTAAAAAAAAAATATATCTTGTGACAATTTTTGGGGTTGGGGGTCTAAGTACTCGTCAAGCCTAAAATGTGTATTTTAATGTGTGCAAAACAATCAAGGAGGGCTCTGGCAGCCAAAGAGTTACAATTTTGACCCCTTTTTGATTAAGAATTTCTTTTCTCTACTATGTAAGAATGAGGGGGCCTGGACCCAGCGTTTAAATGTTGTTCAGTAAATTATTAATGCAGCTATCAGTTACTACAGGAAGGGATGGGCAGAGTTGGTTAAGATCTGCTTTTAAGATGGCCACCAGAGCTCATAGAAGCATAAAAGTGTGAAGACAGAAAAAGTTCAAATGGTCCATCAAGTCTGCCCCGCTACTTTTTTTAGACCTGTTTGGTGGGTGGCTTTTTTTTTAAAACTTTTTGTCTGAGTATAGACCTGTGTTTTTAAAGTCACATACAACTGGTTAGCAGTGGTTCAGGCACCACACCTACAGAACCTGCTCACAGTTTCATGGCTATTTTGCTGACAGCAGCTACTGAAGCTCGGTTTTAAAACACTATGGCTTACGGGTATAACATTTTAGTGGGTTGCTTAGGTTAGTGTGGTTTTTAGATAGTTCGCTACAGAATTATTATCTACAGAAACTGTCCCATACAGGTAGCAAAGTTTACCACTTGCTTATATCACAGAAGAGTTCAAAGTTTTCATCCATTCGTATATATATATATATATAATCACTTGTTTATGTTATTTTAGCAAATGCTACTACAAAGAGCTACCAATCACAGTCATACCTCAATAAAGGAATCAATATGCATCATAAGAGCTTGTGTTCTCCCAATAATGAACTGGTTGACACAGGCAACAGCATGTGACCTATGTTGAAGGAAACAAGAAATACAAACATAAGATCATAGGTGATAAAATTATTTTTGACTCACCGTAAAATTACATTTAAGCACATTAAGGCCCCTTTTACACGTGCAGATCAGGAGGGGATCCCTTCCTTTTTAGAGGAGTGCGGAGTAGATGTCACTGCTGCGAACACCGTGTCCATCTAGGTTTTTCCTCCATCTTGTGATGGAGAAAAAAAAACTGAAAAAACCAGGACCCCAAGCTGGTCTATGGGGAATTGGATGTAAATGGACTTGAGTCCATTTGCATCAGAATACCCCCAATGCGATGTTCAGGTCCGGTGAAACATATCTCCGATTAGTTTTTCCGGACCTGGCTGGAGTCCGGGGTAACCGGGTGTTAATGTAAACCTTATTACTACACATGGCTGCCCATAGACTAACAATGGGCATTCGATAGGGTCCACCTGGCAGTTTTTAGAGCACCTGTATGAAAGGGGCCTAAAAGGGTAAGTTCACTGTGAAATGTGTTGTATAACGAGCATAAAGCTCGCAAATGGAGAGCGTTCATTGGTCGCCATGGTCACATGACCACTCTGGGAAGAGGTCCAGGGCCTTAGGAAAACCTTGTCTTTGAAGCCTATGATGGGAGTGGAAGTGGTTATATTAGGCTGTCCTTACAACTTTGCCAGCATCCAATCTTTGGAAGGCAGTAGCATAATCCAATGTACCCAAATTATATCCTGTGTCCCTTAATACATGATTAAGAAAACACAGTTTATCTGGGGAACATACACATCACACAAAATACTTTGACTGTGGGGCAAAGAAGAGGATTTAAAAAAATATTCAAAAGCATCATTGGGATTTAAAGAAAAGCAGTTTTAAAACAAATCAGCACATTTCAATTACATGAGTAAAAATCAGCCCGGCAAAGCAAGCATGTTTGCCAATTAAACCACTCAACATTGTTTTTGCAATTTCTCTCATTTTGGATTTGTACTGGGATTGTAATATTGCGCAAGCTTGCTGCTTAACTTTTAAATATGAAGCTCTGAGCAGAAAAAGTCTGAGCACAGTAGGTGGGCTTCCATCTCTTCACTTAATTTTTCCTCTCCTAAAGAGTTGTCTGATGAGAACAGGTGGACATTTAATAGGAGCCAAATATTACCATCTCCTTCATCAAAACTGCTGCATTTGAGGTAAATGAAATGCATAATTAGAATACAGATATGGAAGCAGATTCACCTGCTAAAGATTTATAAATTTGTTCAGCCAGTTCTGAAATATACAAAACCCCATCAGAAAGCACAAGCTTGGTGACAACACTTATCTGACTTAATACAGCCTGGTCATTTGCCTTATCCCAGCCTGAAGGAGCAGCAGCAGACTGATCTTTGAGAACGGTCATCTTGCTTTTCTCCTCCTGTCAGCATGTTAGTTGTGAGTGCATGAGCATACAGCAGAACCTGATTGGTTCATTGAGCTGACCTCCCCTCCATCAACCAACTCTCAGCACTGCTGTGGAGGGTTTACGGAAGGCTGATATCAAGGCATTTTCAGGTACTTATAAGGTTATGATTAGATGACGGAGCTTAAGGGTCATTTTCACTTTGTTGACCTGTCAATTTTCTTCTATTCTGGTGGGGCAGAGGGTTAGGAAACAGTACAAATTTAGGCTAAAATTTAACGTACAGCACCTGAATGAGTGAGGCATGAATCACCTCCGTTTAAAATCACGCCCTCAGGGTGTATCGGACCCAGGGTGGTACACTGCATGGCATGGAGGGGAGGGGAGAAGTAGCAATTTTGGCAGAAGAAACTTTGCAGGTCTCTTCTGTCAAAAAAACACAAATTTCTAGCAATTATTTTCCTCTTTGAAGCCGTAGGGGCACAACTATGACATGAGCAGAAAATGAACACTGCAAGTCCTGACAGCCTGTTATAAAGAATGGGATGGGCCATCACCAAATATCACCTGGACACTTCATAACAGTATAAAAAGAAATTACCTTATTTTTGGACTACTGTGTTTGAAGAACTGCAAAAACTTGGGGATCATAACATTAAGCGGCCTTTCCAATACATCACTGTCTAAAATTTCAGTAGAATCTTCACAGATTTTCTGAAGGGCTCCAAAAGCTCCCTGTAACCGAAAAAAAAAGTGTAAAAAAGCACTGCATTGCATTATTTCTAAAACACACAGGCAAAAAAAAAAATTATAAGCAAGCGGATTCTACTGGAATTTAGAAGCTTGGCGATTGTTCCCAGTAAATGCTCTTTCACATGTATCTCACATTGAACATAGTTAAACAATGGCTGATCAGGGTATACAGTCTATGGCAATGAAATCAGTTCCTTCTAAATAGAAACGTATGAAAGTTGTTTCTATATTTGCATATTTTATATACACACACATTTTTCCTGGGCATTCAGGGCAAAGTAACAGGTTTCCTGTATGACAGACACAGTAAGGTGCTTGAACCTACCTTAAACATGTTTTCCCTACCAGTTTGCTGAAAAATCGCAGTGTATGAATCAACCACACACTAAATCAGGACATGCACCCACCTCCTTGACCCCATGTAACAAAGTGACTGGCCGTTTAGAAACCATGTGCTCCACTGGGGGAGGGAACAGTAATTTGCTCCCACTCATCCAGAAATACCACACTTTGAGGCAAGCAAAAGAGGCAGCGGGGAAGCACATGGAAGGCTCCTTAGATTTTGCTTCATTTCCTGCAGACACAACAGGAAGCGAGTGGAAACCTCTCCAAAGATAAATGCTCACTTACTTGTCACAAGAACATGTGTCCCCATTGGAAGATTTTACCTCGCCTCCTATTCTGGTGTCAACGGTAAAGTTTTGGATTTCCAAACACTTTTGAAAACTGTGAACTTTTAAGCAGGAAATAGAAACTGCAATAAAAACCCATCTACAATAACAGTTCCCTATTCCAGCAGTCACCAACTGGTGGTCCGTGGACCACTAGTGGTCCCCGGGCCCTCCACCAGCACTGCCACTCCTGCAGGCACACCAGCACCTATGTAAATGTGTATATATATTCTCATACACACAAGCGTAAAGTGGCACTAAAGTCAGGCGTTAGATCTTAAAAATGCATTCAAGTACCTTATTAACAAAAATGTATCTTATCTGTGTATCCAAGCTTGCTCCTGTGATGGACTACAATCTCAATATAAATTAGTAAACTAAACATGAGACTGTAGTCCCTCTCGGGGAGTGAGCTTGGAGCAGTGACTACTTTACAACACACACAGGGACCATGGGGAACAAAAGTAGCCCCCCTCCAGAAGGAAGGACAGTGTCAGCACCAATTCAGAGATGATTTGAGGATCTACAGCCGAGTGATACACAAATAAGAGACATTTTTGTTATTTGTTGGTACTTGAATGTATTTTTAAGATTTAAAGGAGAACTATGGGGTTAGGGGCTTTTCCCCATAGTTCTCCTTAGGGTAACGGGAGGACACAAACTAGCGTCCTCCCGTCACCCAAAGCTCAGTATACACCTCGCGGTATACTGAGACGCCGCGGTATACCGCAAGCTGCGGCTCGCGGTATACTGAGAGGCCGCAGCTGAAGCGGATCCCGACAATTATGTCTGGATCCGCCCAGCTGAGTGAGTGACAACTGGCTCTGCCTATCTAGAGGCAGAGCCAGCAGTACCCGCCCCCTCCCCTGTCCGTTGCGACAGTCAGTGCTGGAGGATCGGAGCGGGGGAATCCAGCCACTCACCGGTATGTGTTCGCTCACTTCTCAATCTACTGAGCCGACCTGTGACAGTTTCATTGCCACAGGCCGGCTAGAACCTTCAGCTAATCCTTCTGCCAGCCTCGGCTGCGGGCAGCCCTCTGTGCAGCCGAACCGAAGGGCTGTTATGGGCTATTCACAATAGCCTGTGTAGAAGCCGAAAGCAGCCGAGCCGAACACATATGCGGGAATGGTCTGTCGAAACAGAACATTCTCCCCGCAAAATGTAAAAAAACAAAAAACACAGCGCAGTGTCCCTCTTTAGGTCAGGTAGGAAGTTAAAGTGGAACCCAGACGCCAAAAATTGGGGGGTGGGGACAGTCTGATCTGCTGGCAGATCAGGGTGGCCGGGGAGTGCAGGGAAGAAGCACAGCCTACAAAGTATGCCTGCAAATTTGTTAGATTGCCTAGTAAAGGCAAAATGCAGGAACATCTGAAAAGGACAAGCACACTTTAGGTCACTTTCTGTTTGTGAAAAGAATTAAACAAATTGGAAAAATCATATAAATATAAAATATATTACATATGAGCAGTTCAGAAATCGCCACCTGCAGCCAGAAAACTGAGCAAGATTGATAGCATTCTCGAGCTTATTTTACAGCTTGTCAAACAGATATAAGCATAAGGAAAGATCAGATTGCACAAGCTGCTAAACGACTAAGAACGCACCTCCAGTCTCCAAGCAGACATGTGTTAGCTACACATAGTAATATACTACTAGTATAATATTCCATAATGGAACAATTATTACATAATAAATTACATTCAAGTATATCTAAAGTAAAACGCGAAATTTTGTATAGAGAAGGGTAGGTTTAAAGGAGAACTATGAGATGAGTGATTTCCACTCACCTCATAGTTCTAAGCCGACCTGTGACAATGAGACTGTCACAGGACTACTGTCAGTATTTTTGTTGCCAAAAATCCATAATGAGACAAGTGTCTTTACAGTGTGTTCTTTAGACTCAATGGAAAGGGAGGTGAAGGATATAACTTCATAGAGACTGTTGTGATTGGAACAACTATACCCCATTGCTATATATAAGATGGAAAACTTTGTCAACGTTTTCCATCATCGATTAGTTGAAGTTCGATTAGTCCTCGCCGCACGCTTCTTCTCCTCCCCACCATACAGACACGCCGCTTCTCCTCCCCGCACGCCGCAACTCCCCCGCCCCCTCACAGACTCGGAGCTGCCCGCCCATCCACAATCGGCACAATTAAGGAAGAGCAGGCATGGGGGAAGGCAGCTGCCAGACAGGCCCACAATCTGCTCAGGTAAGCCTGCACCCTCCCCCACATGGTGCTGTATTAATGTACCATCAGCTATAGAGGACTACAAATACCAGCAATACATTATACACCGTATGTATAAGGTACTATTGCTGGCATTTGTTGTATTCCTATATAGCTGGTGGTATTCTGCATTGCGCCGTATAATCATTATACAGAAACAGGAACCATATCGCACTCCTTACCGGGATTCCCAATTGATGAAGATGGGTGCTCGAAGTGACTGCGGATGGCACCGCCACAGATTATACAATAGAAAAATGTCACCTGCACACCATAAGTTGAAAAAGCAAAATATTTTATTGCCAATAGCTGTATCTCATTGGCGATGAGTTACAGCTATTGGCAATAAGATATTTTGCTTTTTCAACTTATGAAAAAGTCAGGTGGTACATTTACTTTACTGTGGTTTTAGAGGAGAAAGGGCATTGAACTGTGCACAAAGAATGTTTGCAACGATTAAAGTAGAACACTGTCTCTGAAGAAATGGCTGAAAGCCTGATATGATTTATGCCTGGAGTATTACATTATCCAATGAGACCTTTAAACGAACATCAATATTTTTATTGACTTTCACAACCAAAAATCCTACTACAATCAATAGCATACATGGGGAAACCGAAAACACCATTTCACAAACACTACAGGGGCTCTTCATTTAAATATTCTTACCTCACATGTGTTGTAATCCTCCGAGTCCAACAGACTACACAACTTTGGTAGCAGCTCCGGCCAATTCTGTAACTCTCCTTTTGAAGCGATCGTTGTGATCAAGATTCCTAAAGATGGATACAAGACAGATATTGAGTGATACAACCTTCTGTAACCCTATCTACAGCTGGCCTATTAAACACACAAATGTTTTCCCCAGAGGATTGAATGCTTAACAGCCTGTAAAATGCATAGATTGCAGAGACCAGGTTTTCAATTACAACATTTTTACAATCCAAAACAGAACAAACAATGCAAGCATTATTTAGGGTTGCTGGAGAGACAGCAATTTTTTTTTTTAAACCAGCCATCTTTGTAATTTAAAAAAAAAAGTTCACTTAATTGTTACATGCGTGTAGGAAATGCATGTAGTCACCAACAGCAGCTTTAGCAAAAAAAAAAACCCTACACAGGACACCGAGTTAAATTCTTTAACCACAGGGTTGAGCAGCTGCTTTCAGGTGATTGGACACTGGCAAAATGATTTAACCCCTTTGTGACTGACGACGTACAGTGTACGTCGCCAGCATCGGGGCTGTTTAAACAGACTCCCGGAGCAAGACAGCCATGCATAACCCACAGTGCCAGGGCAACCTTTCCAATGCCAGTCTGATAGGGAGATGCAATGACAACCAGTTTATGCCACGTACCCAGAATGTTGAGCTACAGTGGCCTGGAGTGAAACCTGAGTCTAGGGAACTGCCCCGATGGAGGCCACCTTTAAGCTTTGAACCTTTATGCAAAAGCAGATGGTTGGGCAGCTCCAGGACCATAGGTCAGAGCGTGAGAGTGGAGATACAGAATCTTCTCCAAGGGCAGAAATACCCTGGACAGGGCATGTCCAAGACTAAGCCTAGTTACTCAAAGTGTTGAGGGCTCAAACATCAACTTCTGGAGGATCAAAAGTTTATTCCTAGCTCTGCATGGTTTGCACCGTCCACTGAATGTTGAACGATAGGGCTTGCAATGACTGCTCTCTGGTAGGTTAACCAAGTAGCCCACTGCAGCAATCTCCTGCGACAGAAGCGGGGCAAAACCTCTTCAATTACCAAAATCGGGGTGGACAGAAGGGTACAAATTTCAGTTTGTGACCTGTGATGACAATGCTCTGAACCCAAGCATTGGCAAGGTCATGGCCAGAGTTCTGAGAAGGCTGACAGACGTCCCCACACTTTCAAAAATGGATGATTCAACTTAATTGGGAAGTCGGCTTGCTCCCAGACTTGGCAGGCTTGGAAGACCAACCAGGCCTTGCAACAGAACTGTGCACCCGACTGTGCTTGGAACATGAGGCCTAAGAAGGCAGAATTGAACTTTTAAGGGAGAAAGCAGAAGAGTTTTGTTAGAGTCTTGGACTACTACTTCTGACGTAAAAGGGTACTTTACTACCTCCCACCCATGACTTCCTTGAGGTAGATATTAAATGAGTCTCAAAAAAGGTGTTCAACTAAGGGCATGCGTTCTACGTACTTCTTGCATGGGAGCGCCGCAGACTAGCATTTGAGGAAAAGGATCTGCCGCATGTGAACAGACAGCATGCTCATCCTGGAGATTTTGCAGAGTATACCCCAGTCCATGAACGCAATAACATAAGGCCATAGGAAAAGGTATTAACCTCCCTGGCGGTATTCCCGAGTGTGGCTCTGGGTTCATTTTCAGTACCAAGAGCGGTAACCCTGAGCCACAATGGGGATTGCGCAAAAGTGTCACTTACCTTGTCCCTGCGAGCCTGCGGTGTCCTCTGCTGTGTTCGCCTGGCCGATGCCGGCATTCGGCTTTAAGTTTCGTTTTCGGGTGTCACAGCGGGGGGCGGAAAATTCAAAAGTGCAAACATGACACACAGAACACACACAATACAATGTAATCTGCTATAATTACATATATTTATCAAACTATTTCACTTCAATTTTGTCCCCAGAGCTTTGTCTAGTGCCATGCCTGCACTTTCTGTACTCTATTGACTGTGGTATTGACTGTGGTACGGATCAGGCAGCGCCCCCAGAATTCCCATTTACTGGACCATTTTTTTAAATTATTATATTAGAATTCATGATTTCGTGTTTCAAACTATAAATCATACCCGGGATGTCTACTAGACTCTTGTTTGGACAGATTTAGTGAGTTATTCCTAAGATTTACTAAGAATTACAGGCCTACAATATAAAACAACAAATTGCCATGAAAAACAATGTACCGCTTTGGCATGCTAAAATCCTGCATAATCATACCGCCAGGGAGACTGGGTTCACACCTGGGCATACGGAATACACGCGTTTGCCGCGATTTGCGGTAAAAGAAACGCGCAACAAACGCACGTTTACGAGGGTTATCCGGCTGTATCCTAATGGATAAAACATTAATTTAACTGTGGCAAAGCTTTGTGACGCATTACCATGCGTTGTGATACCTTGTGTTGCAATTAAATATACGCCTGTATCATTTTATCACAGATAAATCACACAAACACAGCGCAACATTTTTAACATAACTCGCTTATTTGCAGTTTTGCGTACCTTCATTTTTTTACCTTTTCGCAAATATTTGTTATTTATTAACTCAATACAGTTTTATCTTTTAGATTGTCAGAAAATATTTTTTTGTGCGCTGATACTGATTTTAGTGTGTTTTATCAATTGAATTGTGTATTTTTAATCGGTTTAATATTAATTTGAAAACCATTTGGGCAATTATCGCAGGGCCTACAAATTTAGTAGCATTATCTTTTTTTATTCTACCAGGTCTGCGCTTTCAGAAAATATATGGTTTGATGGAAAACATGCAGGCTGGATCGAGTTTATACTCCCCTGGATGGCTGGGAGGCTGCTATGAGTTCAGACATCCATGAGAAAGAATAGTGACAAGGCGTGCATGTGCACTAGGCAGAAGACCCAGATGCAAAGGCTGTGTGGCACCAGGTAAGGCCACACAGTAAAGAACTAAAGAGCAGAGATAAGGGCAAGTATTTACCACTGCTGGCTACACTCGAGGAATTTACTTAAGAAAATTAAAAAGAAATGCTACTGCAAACACATTATGGTCAATCCAATAGAGTGGCTAGCTGGGCAGTGTGGCACAGCTGTCCAAAGAAAAAAAAAATATTTTCATTACAATTTAACATGACATTAATGTAAAAAACTCAATGTGAAGCCTTCAATTAGATATTCTAGTAATATTTACAGGCAGTGTAATTTTGCAACAAAGTACTTACCTACTGTTGCTCTAATTAGTGGGGATGAGTCACCAATGTTATTCAAGCACTCGCTCTTTATAAAGTCGGTTACCCCATTGGGGAAGTTGAGGAAATGAGCTTTCACGTTATTTTTCAGTATCAGTCCACTCAAAGAACGCGTAGGCTCATCTGGAAAAAAAAAAAAAGCATTTGGCAAAGAATCACCTAAAAGCTGGCTTTAGTCTGAACTATCACTGGGTAGAACACAAAATAGTCAAATTGCTATACACCATGGGGGCTATCAGGATTATTTTTGCATTTCCATATTGCTCTTCCTTCTACGAGGTAGGAGCATCATTGTGGAAAAAACACACATGCATCAATGCAGTTCCAGAACTTGCAATGGACATCTCGTACCAGGTTTCCTTCTCTCCTTTGTCTTAGAGAAAAAAAACTTTTCTACTTTGCCGCTTTTGTATCCTTGCTGCATCCACCTGCCTATCTGAGGGAAAAACTCCTGATTCAGTTCACAACCTTCTTGCCGAATCTCGTGCTAGCGAAGAAAGAACCAGTGAAATGGAAAGGAGGTTCTGCTCGGCCCAAATTAGAATGCAGTTACAATATTAAGAATCGGGCATAGAAACTTTTAGGAAAATTTGCCAAGAAAATTAGCAACACAAATGGTCGCAAATCAGGTCGCCTCTCCTACAGCAAAGCCTCGAAGGCTCTGTTCACACCTAGGCATATTGAATATGCGCGTTTGTCTCACGTTTTTATCGCGATTCGCTGTAAAAAAACGTGCAACAAACGCGCGTTTCCGAGGGCTACTTGGCTGTATCCCAATGGAAACGCTCGACAAAAACGCCGCAAAGAAGCTCATGTACCTTTTCAGGCGTAGGCCGTTTAGTAGCGCGTTCAGACGGGCTGAAATACGGCAAGGTGTGAACCATACCCATAGAAAAACAATGGGATTTCCATGTTTGAGCGTTCGGAGAGCGTTGAAAGCGCTACAAAACGTACAGGTGTGAACCAGGCCTAAGACAGCTTTACAATCTCACATGTGTAAATTCCTGGGCAGCCAAGTGCTACAATTTGCAAAGTTCTCAGAAAGATTTATACTGAAGGTGCAGCAGATTTTACCTCCAAACAGATACATTAAAAAGGAGAACAATGGGGTTCAGGTTTCCCCATAGTTCTCCTAAGGGTAACGGGAGGACACAAACATCCTCCCGTCACCCCAAGCTGAGTATACCGCGAGCTATAGCTCGCGGTATGTTGAGACGCCGCAGCCAGGACGGATCCCCACATTACTGTCGAGATCCACCCACTACGGGTCTTCCTATCTAGAGGCAGAGCTAGCTGTGCCCGCCCCCTCCCGTTCCGCCAGTCATCGCTGGAGGATCGGACAGGGGAGGGGGGGAATCCCTGCAGGGAGCAGTGAGTGACAGTCACGGCTCTCTGCAGGGGAATGATCGAGAAGTGAGCGAGCGACGATCATCCCAATCTATTGAGCTGACGTGTGACAGTCTCATTGTCACAGGTCGGCTAGAGCCATGAGGCTGAGTGATTTTCACTCACCTCATAATTCTCCTTTAAGAAGCGATCAGGGTCAGGCTGCAACAGAGCTATTTTAAAGCAGCTGAGGCAAGAATTTATGACTCAAGCTATATTCTTATAATAAAGCCCACTTTAAAAAAAAAAAAAAAATCATCTTCCATAGGGTATTGCTGGTCAAACCGCTTAGGAGGGGCAAAGATCCTGTCTGGATTAAGCCAATTCTCATATAAACAAAAAAATTGGATTTAGCAATGAATGCTAAGGAATGCATTTGACCGACTGGAGGCCACCACAACATTTGTTGTAAGCCCAGCCATATATCGTCCTGATTAAGTGGTTGTACAGTACCACGAAACGCACCAACGGTGTACCTGAACTTGAAAATTAAAGTTATTTACCAGAAAATATCCAAAACTCTCTTGGACTCCAGGCACATCTGTTCCCCTTTCTTTGAGGAAATCCTCATTTTTGGGAAAACTCTTTCGGCTACTTCAATGCATTTTGTTAGGCTGGGGGCTTTATATGGAACCCGGGCTAGTAACCATATGCAAATCCTCAGCATCTGCATTTAACCATGTAGCAGGAAATCAGAGATGGACTCTAGAGGAGAGGGCCTGGAAAAACCCTTGCAGCCCCTGCATTCTGAGTTGGCAACCATCACTGAAATATTTTCCATAAAGCCAACATAGTAGCCTTAAATGTCTCGCCTCCCTGGATGAAACAGAGGAGGGATCTGCCCCAGAGGAGATAAGAGGGACTTAGAGGAGTGCTGAGATTAGAGCTATGGACATTGATCCAGGCTGTCAGCGTCAGATTCCCGAGACACGGTCAGTGGATCATAAGTTGGCTAGGCCTGCTACCCTTGTGCTTTTGATCTATGCGAGAGGAAATCCACAAGGGGCACTCATGCCACCTTCTGTTAACAGTAACAGGAAGGTGCTTGATGTAACCCAGGTGCCCCCCCAAAAAAGGGCAGATGGTCCTGATACACAACAGTTGGTGCCGTCCCTCCGCACATAGGAATACACAAGCAAGAACGGCACACAGACTTTGCCTGCAGGAGTCTCAAAACGGGGGACCACTGAAATGTGAACCAAAGCCATGGACCTGTAAAGCAATCTGCACCTCCCACACATGTTGCACCTCTGGTACCAAGCGGTGATCACCCAACGCAATATCCAGTGCACAAATACACATTACGGGACGGCCCTACATCATCTTCCCACAGGGTCCGGGTATGCCCTCAGAGGCTATGTTGAGGATCAGCTGGCCCGGAAAGCCGCAACTGAAGAAACTTGCTGGGAGAACTAGACATGATTTTTTTTTTTTTTAATGGTTGTGCCTCTCTCAGAGCAGAGAGAAAACGCCTGTCTCCTAAAGAAACTAGGCTTTGTGGGAAGGGTTATGCAGGGCTATACGAAAAGGTTTGCCAATCTACAAAATGAGGGCAGCATTCTATCCTGTGCCCTGTAATGTACTATAAAGAAATACAATTTTAATTCTAGGCTGTACCACTACAAAATCTGGAAAAATGTAAAGAGCTTATGCAAAGTATTGCACACACAGACCCTATCCCCTATCGTGCAATGGTAAAGAGTTCCTATCATTCATAATGAGTGTAATGTTTTTAAATGAGCACTAATTGGTAGAAGGTGTTAAAAATCTATTGATTTAAAACAGAAAAGAAAAAAAAAGAAAAAATACACCAAAATTGCAAAGGTGTGATTGGGCCCGGAGTTTACATCTACTTTATGAAGAACAATGGCATCCACTCAATCAAATGAAACAAACTTCAAAATTGTCCGGTAAGGATTAGAGAGGTTGCATGAAGTACTACAACTTAATTACACTGAAAACAAAAAAAATTAAAATGCATCACTTCTGCCATCGCTATTCCATTAGAATGCGCTAACAAAAAGGCACAGTTTAGCGTTAAGAATAAAATCTGCTCATGGTGAAATATATTGGCTGGCCAAGTAACTCAACAGATGGATCTTATTTTTCACTCCATTTGACTTCCACAAGTCGAATGGGAGACTAGATGCAAAACAATGGAAAAAATGAAACCAATTCATTGGCATGTAGATACATTTACAGAAAAAAGGGTAGTCAGAAACTGCGCATAGTTGATAAACATTTAGCATAGTTTAAGTGTGAGTAATATACTGTACCACTGACTGCTGAGAAATGGCGCATCCTAACACTTGTCCATTTACCAACACATTAAACAGAGGGAGCCATAATGCACATGGACAAATGAGTTTAAAATTGTATATCAATTTTGAAATAGTGTTAAAGCTTACTAACGAGAATGGTGTATTCATTAAGAGGATATTTGTACTCATCTGAAAAAGCTTTTCTTGGAGTCCACTGAGTGACTTAGGAATTTAGATACTGGGGATAAACTGCCGTCTACAGGACGATCAGAAACTGGCCTTAGTAGCAAGCAGTACAAAAAGCATGATCAATGGGCTCCAAGAAAATGCTTCAAGGGGGAGTACAAAAATCAGACTTCCTTTTCTGTCCATTGAGATACACAGGAAATCAGATACTGTCAGGATAGCCAAAAGCAGTCCAACAGAGGTGGGCAACACAACAACTGCTAATGGGCCCAACAAAAAAACATCAGAGGACTGACGGCAGCCCAGGAGCAGCCTAAAGGATCAAGTTCCAAATCTGAACTGGATACATCCACAATCCCCATACCTATTAGGGAACCTGCCAACATGACCAGATTGAGGACGCAAACAGAGGGAGAATCAACCTGATGCTCAAGACCTAGAAGAAAGTCAGCACCAGCGGGAATGATGCCACAGGGAAAGAGCACCAAACTAGTGAGACGTTTATCAACCAAACTCACCGAATGAAAACAAGTGAAACCATAACTAATTCCCATGAAGGTTAAAAAAAAAAAAAAAAAGGAAACGAAAAAAAAGCACAGGTCCCAGGAAGGCACATAGGATCAAACTGGTCTAGATGAGAAAGACTAGCTAGTCTACACACGGTCAAGGGGCTGAAACTGTTACTAAAGGGGTGTCTGACCTGAAAACCAATCTCGCTAGGTGAGATTTACAAAGAAAAGCTCTTTATCACGAAAGCACCACAGTCCACAAGAGGTGTGAAGTGCCCCTGAGAAAATTCAGGGGTTTGATCTGACGAAGTCAATGTGACTAAAACGAGTAGGGTGCATGTGAAGCTCCCCCACAAGGGTAGGCATGAATGCAGGTGATACCTTAGCCTCAAGTGAGATAGAATTACCAGACAAGACTGAGGACAAAGCCAAATCATCCTTCCTAGCACACAAAAGGAGCCTCAGGGACACTTTATAAGTATCCTGCTAAAGAACTGCCATGCCTAACCAACCTCAAACTATCGGCGTAAAATAGCTTCTGATCCCCCAGTTTCAGCAAAACACCAATGATGGAGCAAGAACAGGAATCTTAAAAGAAATGCTAAGAGGGTTCACCTGCTTAAGGTTGGAACAAGGTAAGGCATCCAAAAGCCCTCGACAGACTGGATCTACAAAGGAAGGAATACTCAGATGGATAGATCTCACAAAGTCATACTCTGGCCAAGGCAGAGAATACCAGCAGCAGAAAACTAGGGTGTTCCACCTGCTGCCAATCCAGTGA